AGGCATCAGAGCTGCTTCCCTTAGACGTTCAATGATCAGCTGATCGGGGGTTCGAATGTCAAATTCGACCCACTTAGGATCCTGTTCTAAAGTCAGCGTACTTACATTCAATGTCATTTGTCCTATAAAGCTTTAATGGATTATAAAAATAGTTCATGATCTCTAAATATATCTCAAGATGTGTGTGTGAAATAACCTTACTTAATATCAACACACGCTAATCCACTTCCAGCGTTAATCCAGTAATAATTGTTTTACTTATTTTTTTATTTATAGTTTGTTTGTTTGTTTGTTTGTTTGTTGTTGTTGTTTTTTGTTGTTGTTTTTTTTGTGTGTGTGTGTGTGTGTGTGTGTGTGTGTGTGTGTGTGTGTGTGTGTGTGTGTGTGTGTGTGTGTGTGTTGGGGGGGGGGGGGGGAGGGGGGGTGTTGGGTTGGGATGTGGTGTGTGCCTTAACGTCATAACTGGTAATCTAACTGTGTTAACGATATGTCTCCCTATAAATTAAAGAGTGGTGAGATGGGTTTAACGCCCCTTTGAACTGTATTCCAGTTATATCGCGGCGTGTCAGCTTAATGTGAAAGGAGAGACCGAAGTGATGCAGGTCTCAGACGTTTACCACTTTGGTGAAACCCACGATCACGGGTATGGCGTTGACAAACCTGGAAACACAATCGGGGCGAACCGGGATTCGAACCCACGATCATAGGTTCCTGGTGTGAACAAGGGACGCAACTCTGCGGCGTGAATTGCGGAGCCTCAGACGACTGGGCCACCGCGCCCAACAAATGAAAGCAGAAGACTAAAACATTCAGCGTCGGTGCTTTTCAGTGAGAAATAGGAAATTCTTCCACCTGTCAATGCATACTTCGTGATGAATGTGCATCACCCGCTGGACGCTTTCCACCCATTCTGTTTCTGAGGTACGTTTTGCATCGCCTACGAGTTGAAAAAAAACTTCCCATCTCAACCCACCAACTTACCCCGAGGCTCGCCATGCATTTCTTATAAAGGCATGGTCACTCGAGTACTTTCAGTCATAGTTTGGGCGAATTGTCACACGCAAACACCACCATAGTCTTCTGTCTGTTCCAGTAAGGTCTGCGTTTACTGTGAAAACATTTTTTGTCCTGAGGCGCTAAGCTGCTAGTTTATCAGGTAGCCGTGAAGGGAGAATCTATTACCAACAAAGGCCTTTACATTCAATACCGACGTATATTTGTTTCATTGATCGTAAAGATCGTTAATCAAGCCAGAAACGCCTATCTCCAAAGTCTGAACTAGCTCGACCCTTATATAAAACAAAAGTAACCTCAAGGCGAGACTCCCACGAGTCCATAGACACATCGACAAACAAATAGAGCATGACTTAAAACATTGCGGACATTCCATACTCGAATTTTTATATCAAATTCAACAATGGTTAAAATGTGACTGTCATTTTATGAATAGTTCTATATGTGCATTGGGTGTTGGGCGTGTTTAGAGACGCTTTATCATAAATATGTCCCGCAATCAAAGCGGAATGTCTCTGTTTAATCTGAACATGATATTATTGAGTTGTACTTACATCAGTTTGATGCAGGTGGATCTTATGGAATAATGGGTATGTTAATATCACTATAAATTTTGTCTGGATCGAAACATGACCTCAAACATAATATAGTGTCATAAAATAACGTTCTAATGGCATTATTAGCAGCAGATTAAAATGAGTGAGTGAGTGAGTTGGGTTTAACGCCGCTTTTAACATTATTCCAGTCAGCTTAATGTGGGAGGAAAGCCCGAAGTGATGCAGGTCTCAGACGTTTACCACTTCGATGAAACCCACGAGCACCGGTATGGTGCTGACAAACCTAGAAACATAATCGGGGCGAATCGGGATTCGAACCCACAATCATAGGTTTCTGGCGTGCCCAAGGGACGCAACTCTGCACAGCGAATCGCGGCGCCTTAGACGACTGGGCCAACCGTGCCCCCAGGAGATTAAAAGATCCACATTGATTTACATAGGTTTTCTGACAAATTGACTTTAAATAACTCGGATTAAGCATTAAGGGAACTACAGGAATGTCAAAAACGAGAATGAATAATATTTTGTCTTTTACCAAGATAAAAAGTAACAAGGAGGTAAATATAGCCTTGCTTGACAACAGTATAAGCACCTATACCGCAACGTCGTCTTTACAGTAAATAAAGAGGTTGTTGTCCATAAATTGTGTCTACTTTGTCATCCGTAATTACAGTAAACTACGGTTATAACGAACTCAAAGGGACTACTAATTTTAGTTCGTTATAACCGTATTTCGTTATAAGCATATATACAGCATAACTACAGCAAATATTCGGGACCAAAAAAGTAAGTTCGTTATATCCGTCAGTTCGTTATAAGCGTGTTCGTTATAACCGTAGTTTACTGTGCTATCAAACAATGTGTTTCAGTTTTATCACTTCATTTCAAAAGAAAAATGTATAGATTAAAAATCTACTTTCCTGAGAAAGTTATTCAATATTTTAAGAGTTTCCGGTAAGTGGAATTGTTTTTACTTCTAAGATTACGGTTACTTATGTTGTCTACTCTTGGTGGTGAGGGTCATTTATATGATCTGCACATAAGCTGCTTACAACTTCATATAGTTAGTTGTTTAGTTTGCTCTCTTTTTTCATAGCCACTATTCCCCTGCAGTCAACTTTGTCGCGTATCCTCGCCAACAGGAAGGCCAGCTAGCAAAACAAATCAATGCATCATCATCCCTTAAGAAATAAATGTTGATGATGATGTAGCCATTTACTGCCCCTGGGTTATACACTGGACGCACAGTGCCATGTTAATGATTCATATCACTTTCTGGTGATAACAATAAACGTCTCTCTGACAACGTTATTTAAATAATTTCATGGAAAGTGTCACACCCAGGTGCCCAAGAAAACAACACGGTCGTCATGGTAATCACATGTATGTCAGAGTGGCGGTCTACAAGGTGATGTATTGATCCGTATTCTTTTAACCATTACCGTTCTAGTTTATGCGCTTGTTTGACTGAGGCCACAATTTGTTATCGTGTTTTATCAATAGCTCTCACCATGGAATTGCTTATACTGGACATTAGCAAGGATGTCTGAAATCCCAAATAAAAAAGGCTTTGTGTACTGGACGGCAAAAGAAAGTGTACCAAGTTTGTTTTTTTATGCAGTTGAATATTGAAAGAGCTGTTGTGGAATTTTATTATGTCTATTTAACCATCACACATCCCAGCAACAGTTTGTAAATAGCAATCTGTGGCTGGGTAATTTTGTGTAAAGATAAATTTGTTCAATGAAAACTGCAATGAACCCTACCATGTTTGAAATGTAAATGTGTGCTGAAAAAAAGCAAAGGTATTGATTTTCAAAGATAAGATGTCTCCGATTCCCATCAACTGTTGTGTATTAAGTGGTATTTTTACGTTTTAAAAGTTATAGATTAAGTGTTATTTTAACATAAGATATGTCCAAATGAAAGCTTACGGACATTGACAAAATATCATTTGGCCTCAGCCATACATTTCAGTGAACCGGGACTTAAGCACAGGTGGACTAACCTGTTGCCGTTACTACAACACTCGCCTGACAACACGCATTGTCAATGACCCATGCACTGACTGCTCTGAGAGTACATGCTGCTGCTATTGGTAATGTGATTTCTGTTTACTGTGCTTTTGTTTAGATATATGACAAACATGTACAATCAGTACACAGTGACGCTCTAGAACACACGGCAACCAAACGCACTGAAAGAACCGTTAAACATATTAAACACTTATGTTTAATTTCTATATTTTATACCAGCTCTATAACAATTTCAGGGCACAAGTACTGATATTAGAAAATAGTCCCAAAAGAGCATGAACATGTCAATGTTAGATAGGCTCCAAAGTCTTCGTACACCCTATCGTTGTGACCTTGGGCAGGGGTGATAAAAAGTAGTTCATTATATTACGACTAGGACGAAAATATTACGAAGGTAATATCCTTAAGTCATCTTTCGACGTACAAATGAGCAATACATACATATATATCTATATATACAAGTTACAAGTGGGCAAGTATTATATATGTAATACATGAGCGCTTTAGGTATGATGATCCTTGAACGCACTCGGTAATAAAATGATGATCCTTGAACGCACTCGGTAATAAAATGATGATCCTTGAACGCACTCGGTAATAAAATGATGATCCTTAAATAGGAAAGAAAAGATGGACCTAATCGGCTTTTAAAGATTATTATTAAAGTATTTTTTAACCATTTCAAAATTATGCCCAATACCTGTGTTGTTTTTTAAATGTTCGGTTATTTCTGCACTCACTGGGTATTTCAGCAGGTTTAAGGGGAAATAAATTCCATGTGGGACTGTTATAAACAGTTCAAATCTGGACAATTGTTTCTGTGTACGCAGTTAGAAGACATGTCAGTCTGTTAAGCATAAAATTCTTTTTCATCATAATTATCATCGATTTGGATTTATCAAAACATTTTCAGAGGCACTTTTGTCATTATTTAGAGCAAGAAATGAACATAACAAAGCTCACAGAGTTGTAGTTGCTGATGCTGTTTGGCAGAAGATGAATTTTTTGATCATTAAGAAGAGGATGCACGTTAACTTACTAAGGAAATAAAAGTACATATTCACCCCGTCAAGTTTGTTAAAGGTGAAACCTTTAAAGACAATCACACAAAAGTCTCGTCAAAAGTGGAAGATGTATTTTGATGATAATTAAGAGGATGATGCACGTTAACGTACTAACGAAATTAAAGTACACATTCACCCCATCAAGTTTGTTGAAGGTGCAACCTTTAAAAACAATGAACAAAAGTCTCGTCAAAAGGCGCGTGTTCTGTGGATATACCATTTAGTAAACCGCTGCGAGGGACAGTAGTACCCGACAGTTCATTTTGATAAATTAATCAATTCTTGGAGGGATTGGAACCAATCAGCGCTTCCAGTGTTTGTATGGTATCGTGGCACTGAAACGGGTGAACGATCATGGAACAGTATAAAAAGAGTTCGAGAGCTGTGGCAACGCACTTCTGACGAGCCCTCGGATCTCCTGCAGTCAAGATGGCATCGTATCTCGCTGTATTCCTCGCACTTGCAGGTAGAGTCATTATCATTGTATTTATTAGAATTATCATTGTATTTATTAACATTATCATTGTATTTATTAACATTATCATTTCTAGAAGCTTTAGTATCTCGTAAAGAATTATGTTTTTATGGATTATTTTATAATAATTATTACTCTTATGATCGTAGAATGCATTATTTTAGGAAATTATATATGTCGGTATACCGGCTCAATCAAAGCTATTTTACGTCGTATGAAATGTTGTCTTAAACTATTTTCAAACGAATTAAATGGATCCTATCTTGCGACAATAAAACATATTCCATATTTATATAAAATGGATCATTCAGGATAAAAGACCTGGGTATAAGAAATAAAATATGTGCTTTCTGGCATCATTTTGGAACAGCATGGCTTTCATATACAGTTGGTGATACTCAAAAATATTTTTAAATTCATTGTTAACATGTTTCAGCAAAATTTGAAATGGAACTTGAAAATAGTTCAGGATAAATTAAATAGAGAGATTATTGGACGATTATTGTTCCCGTGTCGTAAATATCATATACATTTTTATTGGGAATAGAAATGGTTTTATGCAAGCCTTTGGCGAGCATAATACATATTTTGTTATCCCCAATATATGATATTTACGTACGGAAACACACGAGGGTAATAACCGTTTTACGCGTAATGTCATTCTGCAAATAATGGATATTTAAGCAACAATTTCAAGCAATGAAGTAGCTTTAGAAACCGCGTTTGAATAAGTTGTTTTGAGTGAACCGCCCATTTTATAATATAGTGCCATATGTCTTTAAATCAATTTTCAGCGATACAATGTGAAAGACCTTTCTAAGCACATTGGGAATGTTAGTCAATATTACTGTTAGTAATAGAAACCTCATATAAATATCTTGGTGTAATATTTTCAAGTAAATTATCATGGAACCGACATATATGTAATGCAGCAATCCAAGCTAAAAAGATGCTATTGGGCATTTTACAAACGTTTGAACATTTTAGCGAGTGTGCTTATAAATCTTTCTTCAAAATCTTTGACACAAAAATAGCTCCTATTCTTTCCTATGGTTCAGAAATATGGGGTTTTGCAGAGGCTAAAGAAATTGAATCCGTACATTTATACGCACGCAAAAGATTTCTTGGCGTTAAACATAGTACGTCTAACGTAATGGTTTATGGTGAATGTGGTCGCATGCCCTTGTATATGTATCACTACTTAAAAATCATAAGATACTGGTTAAAATTACTAAAAATGCCAGTAAGTAGATTGCCAAAAAAATGTTATAATATGATGCTATTGTATGAAAAGAATGGAGATCAAAATTGGGCATACAATGTTAAATGTCTACTGTATAAATGTGGGTATGGTTACATCGCGGAAAACCAATGTTTCTTAGAGAATCATGCCATGTTCATATCGAAAATAAGGCAGACGCTTTTAGACATGTACTGTAGATGTTTCTAGCAAATGCGAATATTATAGATATTTTAAAATGCAAATATGAGCAGAAAAATATTTAACTGATGTAAATATAAGAAAATGCAGAATATCATTAACACAATTTAGATGCAGCTCACACAGGTTAATGGTTGAAGTTGGCAGGCACAACAAAATACCCAAATGTTTAAGATTATGTAAACAATGTTCTTTAAATGTTGTCGAAGATGAATTTCATTTTCTACTTGTATGTTGTAAATATGATAATTTAAGGAAAAAATATATTGAACAGAAATACTATGTACATCCAAATAAATACAAGTTTATCTCTTTAATTTCACATGTGAGCAAAACGGCTATACAAAATCTCTCTCTCTTTATATATCATGCCATGTTATTAAGAAATGAATCCTTGTAACATTCCTAACCGCTTCCACATTGTCATCTATTCTGTACTATAGGCCTGTGGCCTTACAGTTATATATGAATAAACTGATTGATAGTCAATAGTTAATTGAGAAGGAAGGCATTGGTGTGTGAAGCTTGATAGGAGTTCTTGCTCGAACCATCATATCACGTTTAATGATTGATTTGTCCCCTCGATAGCAGACCCGTGAAGGTCCGGGGTAGAATAGGTCTTCAGCAACCCATGCTTGCCGTAAAGAGGACTATGCTTGTTGTAAGAGGTGACTAACGTGATCGGGTGGTCAGGCTCGCTGACTTGGTTGATGCATGTCATTGTATTCCAATGCGTAGTTCGATGCACATGAATCACTCGATTATTTACAGACCGCCGTCATATAGCTGTAATGTTGCTGAGTGCGGCGTAAAACAACAAACAAACAAAACCAAACCTCGATAACACTATTCATTATATCATATAACGGATACATGAAATGATCTCGAGAAAGAGTAACTATCTTACTTTAGTTAGAAATTAGTAAAGTTAGAAAATGTTGATACTTCAATGCGAAAATTTCCATTGTGTAATTTAGGAAAAATGACTTACGAAAGATGTTTATTGCTAAAATATTTTAAATATTATATTTTCAAAATAACAAAATATGTCCATAATTCGTATTAGTTTTTTAAATGTTCTGCTTGAAACTTAATGCCATAACTGATACTTTCTACTCAAAATAAGTTAACTTTATTATGATAATCTATGACATAAAAACTATAGTTATATCAAGGAATCGGATGTTCTATGGCCTCTTTTGAGTAGTATATTACATATAGGCTTATGGCTTGAGAGTTGATTGACTAGTAGATTGTGGTTGTTGTTGTTGTTGTTGTTGGTGGTGGTGGTGGTGGTGGTGGTGGTGGTGGTGGTGGTGGTGTTTAACGCCGCATTCAGCAATATTCCAACTGTATGACGGCGGTCTGTAAATAATCGAGTCCTGTACCAGACAATCCAGTGATTGGGATGGGATACGATGACATGCATCAACCAAGTCAGCGAGCCTGACCACCCGATTCCGTTAGTCGCCTCTTACGACAAGCATAGTCGCCTTTTACGGCAAGCATGGGTTGCTGAAGGCCTATTCTACCCCGGACCTTCACGGGTCGACTAGTTAACGGATAGTGCTGGGTGTCGGGCTTAGGGAGGGGTTCCATACCACAGAGGGACGATTTAGGGCATTCCGGACATTAGAACGTACCCAGATAAGCGAGTGTGTTCCAGGTTACAGAGTGGTTGGTTCAGGCAGGTTGTTGTCGAGTACAACTGACCTATTCAGGCAGAGAGTTCAAACAGAGGGAGTCGAGATGAACAGATCAAGAGGAGCTGGATTAGAATGAATGTTCGCATTATGGAGATGCATGAGTAGAGGGTGTGTTCCGTGATGCAGTGGTGCTGTTTTAGGGGAAGTGGGGTTCAGATTACAGAGTGTGTTCCGTGATACAGAGGGGCTGGTCTAGGGGAAGTAGGGTTCAGATTACAGAGTGTGGTCCGTGATACAGTGGGGTTGGTTTAGCGGGGTGTTTAGATTACAGAGTGTGTTCCGTGATACAGAGAGGCTGGTTTAAAGGAAGTGTTCAGATTACAGAGTGTGGTCCGTGAGAGAGAGGGGCTGGTTTAAAGGAAGTGTTCAGATTACAGAGTGTGGTCCGTGATACAGAGGGGCTGGTCTAGGAGAAGTGTTCAGATAACAGAGTGTGGTCCATGATACAGAGGGGCTGGTTTAGCGGGGTGTTTAGATTACAGAGTCTGTTCCATGATACAGGGGGGCTGGTTTAGCGGGTGTTCAGATTACAGAGTGTGTACCGTGATACAGAGGGGCTGGTTTAAAGGAAGTGTTCAGATTACAGAGTGTGTTCCGTGATACAGAGAGGCTGGTTTAAAGGAAGTGTTCAGATTACAGAGTGTGGTCCGTGAGAGAGAGGGGCTGGTTTAAAGGAAGTGTTCAGATTACAGAGTGTGGTCCGTGATACAGAGGGGCTGGTCTAGGAGAAGTGTTCAGATAACAGAGTGTGGTCCATGATACAGAGGGGCTGGTTTAGCGGGGTGTTTAGATTACAGAGTCTGTTCCATGATACAGGGGGGCTGGTTTAGCGGGTGTTCAGATTACAGAGTGTGTACCGTGATACAGAGGGGCTGGTTTAAAGGAAGTGTTCAGATTACAGAGTGTGTTCCGTGATACAGAGGGGCTGGTTTAAAGGAAGTGTTCAGATTACAGAGTGTGTACCGTGATACAGAGGGGCTGGTTTAAAGGAAGTGTTCAGATTACAGAGTGTGAACCGTGATACAGAGGGGCTGGTTTAAAGGAAGTGTTCAGATTACAGAGTGTGGTCCGTGATACAGAGGGGCTGGTTTAAAGGAAGTGTTCAGATTACAGAGTGTGTTCCGTGATACAGAGGGCCGGGTTTAGGGGAAGTGTGTTCAGATTACAGAGTGTGGTCCGTGATACAGAGGGGCTGGTTTAAAGGAAGTGTTCAGATTACAGAGTGTGAACCGTGATACAGAGGGGCTGGTTTAAAGGAAGTGTTCAGATTACAGAGTGTGGTCCGTGATACAGAGGGGCTGGTTTAAAGGAAGTGTTCAGATTACAGAGTGTGGTCCGTGATACAGAGGGCCGGGTTTAGGGGAAGTGTGTTCAGATTAAAGAGTGTGGTCCGTGATACAGAGGGGCTGGTTTAAAGGAAGTGTTCAGATTACAGAGTGTGATCCGTGATACAGAGAGGCTTGTTTAGGGGAAGTGTTTAGATTACAGAGTGTGTACCGTGATACAGAGGGGCTGGTTTAAAGGAAGTGTTCAGATTAAAGGAAGTGTTCAGATTACAGAGTGTGTACCGTGATACAGAGGGGCTGGTTTAAAGGAAGTGTTCAGATTACAGAGTGTGGTCCGTGATACAGAGGGGCTGGTTTAAAGGAAGTGTTCAGATTACAGAGTGTGGTCCGTGATACAGAGGGGCTGGTTTAGGGGAAGTGTGTTCAGATTACAGAGTGTGTACCGTGATACAGAGTGGCTGGTTTAAAGGAAGTGTTCAGATTACAGAGTGTGTTCCGTGATACAGAGGGGCTGGTTTAAAGGAAGTGTTCAGATTACAGAGTGTGGTCCGTGATACAGAGAGGCTGGTTTAAAGGAAGTGTTCAGATTACAGAGTGTGTACCGTGATACAGAGGGGCTGGTTTAAAGGAAGTGTTCAGATTACAGAGTGTGTTCCGTGATACAGAGAGGCTGGTTTAAAGGAAGTGTTCAGATTACAGAGTGTGTACCGTGATAAAGAGGGGCTGGTTTAGGGGAAGTGTGTTCAGATTACAGAGTGTGTACCGTGATACAGAGAGGCTGGTTTAAAGGAAGTGTTCAGATTACAGAGTGTGTTCCGTGATACAGAGAGGCTGGTTTAAAGGAAGTGTTCAGATTACAGAGTGTGTTCCGTGATACAGAGAGGCTGGTTTAAAGGAAGTGTTCAGATTACAGAGTGTGGTCCGTGATACAGAGGGGCTGGTTTAAAGGAAGTGTTCAGATTACAGAGTGTGTACCGTGATACAGAGGGGCTGGTTTAAAGGAAGTGTTCAGATTACAGAGTGTGTTCCGTGATACAGAGAGGCTGGTTTAAAGGAAGTGTTCAGATTACAGAGTGTGTACCGTGATACAGAGGGGCTGGTTTAAAGGAAGTGTTCAGATTACAGAGTGTGGTCCGTGATACAGAGGGGCTGGTTTAAAGGAAGTGTTCAGATTACAGAGTGTGGTCCGTGATACAGAGGGGCTGGTTTAAAGGAAGTGTTCAGATTACAGAGTGTGTACCGTGATACAGAGAGGCTGGTTTAAAGGAAGTGTTCAGATTACAGAGTGTGTTCCGTGATACAGAGGGGCTGGTTTAAAGGAAGTGTTCAGATTACAGAGTGTGTACCGTGATACAGAGGGGCTGGTTTAAAGGAAGTGTTCAGATTACAGAGTGTGGTCCGTGATACAGAGGGGCTGGTTTAAAGGAAGTGTTCAGATTACAGAGTGTGTTCCGTGATACAGAGAGGCTGGTTTAAAGGAAGTGTTCAGATTACAGAGTGTGGTCCGTGATACAGAGGGGCTGGTTTAAAGGAAGTGTTCAGATTACAGAGTGTGTTCCGTGATACAGAGGGGCTGGTTTAAAGGAAGTGTTCAGATTACAGAGTGTGTTCCGTGATACAGAGAGGCTGGTTTAGGGGAAGTGTTCAGATTGCAGAGTGTGTTCCGTGATACAGAGGGGCTAGTTTAAAGGAAGTGTTCAGATTACAGAGTGTGGTCCGTGATACAGAGAGGCTGGTTTAGGGGAAGTGTTCAGATTACAGAGTGTGTACCGTGATACAGAGGGGCTGGTTTAAAGGAAGTGTTCAGATTACAGAGTGTGTTCCGTGATACAGAGGGGCTGGTTTAAAGGAAGTGTTCAGATTACAGAGTGTGTTCCGTGATACAGAGGGGCTGGTTTAAAGGAAATGTTCAGATTACAGAGTGTGGTCCGTGATACAGAGGGGCTGGTTTAAAGGAAGTGTTCAGATTACAGAGTGTGTACCGTGATACAGAGAGGCTGGTTTAAAGGAAGTGTTCAGATTACAGAGTGTGTTCCGTGATACAGAGGGGCTGGTTTAAAGGAAGTGTTCAGATTACAGAGTGTGTTCCGTGATACAGAGGGGCTGGTTTAAAGGAAGTGTTCAGATTACAGAGTGTGGTCCGTGACACAGAGAGGCTGGTTTAAAGGAAGTGTCCAGATTACAGAGTGTGTACCGTGATACAGAGAGGCTGGTTTAAAGGAAGTGTTCAGATTACAGAGTGTGTACCGTGATACAGAGGGGCTGGTTTAAAGGGAGTGTTCAGATTACAGAGTGTGTTCCGTGATACAGAGGGGCTGGTTTAAAGGAAGTGTTCACATTACAGAGTGCGGTCCGTGATACAGAGAGGCTGATTTGAAGGAAGTGTTCAGATTACATAGTGCGGTTCGTGATACAGAGGGGCGGATTTTGGAAGAGTGTCCTATGTAAGGAAGGTCCTGGTATATAGAGGGTTGTCAAGACTACAGCTTAGCTCGTTTAGGGAGCGTTTCAGATTTTAGAGTGTGTTCCGCGTTTCAGAGAGGCTGATTTAGGGAGATTGTTCTAGGTTAGGGACGTACAGGTATATAGAGAGTGGTCAAGGCTACAGTTCAGCTCGTTCAGGGAGAGTTTAAGATTTGACAGTTACAGTTTACAGGAGGGCATGTTTAGGGAGAGGTTTCAGACCACAGACGGGCTGGTTTAGACAAATAAAAAGGGCGTTGGTCTAGTCGAAACAACAGCAATGGGCACCAGTACAGTCCCGGGCCCGTGAGGCACCCTGCTTGTACCCTATATTACATAGATATCTGTATCTGTACTAGTTGGGGTAGTAGCCGTGTGGCTTAGCGTTCGATCGTCCAGGTTCGAGTCTCTACATGAGTGTTGGAAGCCACTTGGAAGTTCTCCTCCGCCGTAATATTGCGGCGTATTGCTCATACGATGCAAAACCTTACTCACTCACTCACCCATTTAAATTTCAACGTCTGTTTATTTCAGTCGTGGTTGCCCCAGCCGTGGCGGATACCTGTACCATGTGCAAAACCACCTTTGACAGCGTCTACAGCTCTTCATCAACAACCAATGCCCAGAAATGCGAGTACGTGATATAGTTTAGACACTACCGTGTACTACAAACTTCGTGGTGGAGTAGGGGGAGCGTCTGCCTTGAGAGTGGAAGGTCGGGGGTTCGATTACCTGGCCGCGCCGTACCAAAACACTGTAAAAAGGGGTTCTTTTTGTTACTCTGCCCTAAGCTCGGCATTAAAGGATAAGACAAGGATTTGTCGGCACGGAGTCAGTATGCTGTGTCTGTGTGATATCCAACTATCCATGTTAAACTGAGGCATGGTATCTTAGTGGTCTATCACTATAAACCTGCATTAGTCCCCCCTCTACACAACAACAACCCCATATACAACAACCCCACATGCAACAACCCCCATATACAAAAACAACCCCTATATACAACAACAACACCCCATATACAACAACCCCCATATACAACAACAACCCCAATACACAACAACTCCCATATACAACATCCCCTTTACAACAACAACCCACATATACAACAACCCTCTATACACAACCCCCATAAACACAACAACCCTCTATACACAAAAACCACCATATACACAACAACCCCATATATAAAAACAAAACCAATACACAACCCCATATACAACAACAACCCCATATACAACAACCCCATATACACACCATCCCATGTACAACAACCCCATATACACAACAACCCCATATACTACAACAACCCCATATACAACAACCCCCATATACACAACCACCCCATATACAACAACAACCCCTAAGTACACAACAACCCCTATATACAAAAACAACCCTTATATACACAACCCCATATACACAACAACCCCATTACAACAACAACCCCCATATACAAAAACAAACCCAATACACAAACCCCATATACAAAAACAAGCCCAATACACAAACCCCATATACAACAACAACCCCATATACAACAACAAACTCCACTATAACAACAGGGGGCCCAGTCGTCCCAGTCGTCTAAGGCGCCACAATACGCAATGCAGAGTTGCGTCCCTTTGGCACATCAGAAACCTATGGTTGTGGGTTCGAATCCCGGTTCGTCCCGATTATGTTTCTAGGTTTGTCAGCACCATATGTTCATGGCTTCACCAAAGTGGTAAACGTCTGAGACCTGCATCACTTCAGGATTAATCCCACATTAAGCTGACACGCTGTGATATAATTGGAAGAATGTTAAAAGCGGCGTTAAAACAAACTCAAACAAACAACAACAACCCCCTATACAACGACCCCCTATACAACAACCCCCTATACAACAACCCCCTATACAACAACCCCCTATACAACAACCCCATATACAACAACCCCATATACAACAACCCCATATACAACAACCCCCTAAACAACAACCCCCTGTACAGCAACAACAACAACAACCCCATATACAACAACCCCCTATACAGCAACAACAACAACCCCATATACAACAACCCCCTATACAGCAACAACAACAACAACCCCATATACAACAACCCCCTATACAGCAACAACAACAACAACCCCATATACAACAACCCCCTGTACAGCAATAAAAATAACGTCAAAACATTCAACACTACATTCAACACGAGCAATGCAAAGCTTGACAATACCGTTAAAACACTATCCCAACCACACTTGTTCAACGCCATGAAAACAGCAATAAGGACGCTTGTACTTATATCAGTGACGTTCAAAATACCAACTGACCAATTCCACATTCAACAATGCCAAAAATAGCCAACGCAACAACAACAACAACAACAAACATGCTCAAACATTGTTTAACGCCGCACTCAACAATATCCCAGCTATGTGGCGGCGGTGAAAAATTCGAAAATTCGACTCTTGACCAAAGAATCTAGTGATTGACGTCATGAGCTTCGATCTACGTCATTGGGATATGATGAACATCAACCAAGTCAGCGAGCATCTCGTTAGTCGCCCGTTACAACCTTTAACACGGCAAAGGGAAGGTGGGGTAATTGTTAAAGACGTCACTCGTCTCGGTGGTTGATGCATGTCATCGTATCCCAGTTGCGTAGGTCGATGTCCATGATGTCAATCACAGGATTGTCCTGTCCGGACTCGATAGTTTACAGACCGCCGTCATATAGCACAGTGTGGCGTTATTTGTACCTGTTAATTTGTGGTGACACGTGACCTGTGTAAAGTACGGTAGCCCATAAGGGACATGGAGTCTGTTTTCCCATATTTTGATATAATAAAGATAGCATAAAGATAGTAACAGATTTAATGTCACCTATTTTTCAGCGCTATTAAGAAGTACGGAGGATGTCTATCGTCAGCAAGCGGAGATGGCTGTACCACTGTGATAACGAGGGCAGGCGAAGCTACGGCCGGAGTGATCGCCCTTGCCACTGCAGGATACACTTGTAGTGAGTAATTTAAGGCTGCATTAGGGACTGGACATTTATCATAACTGTTTGCGGTTTGTTTGTTTGTTTGTTTGTTTGTTTGTTTGTTTGTTTGTTTGTTTGTTTGTTTGTTTATTGTTGTTGTTGTTGTTTGGTGGTGGTTGTTTGTTTTGTTGTTGTTGGGTTTTGTTTTGGTTTGGTTTGTTTTGTTTTTTGGGTGTGGTTTTTTGTGTGGTTTTTTTGGTGTGTTTTTGTTGTTGTTTTTTGGGGGGGTGAGGATGGGTGTGCGTGAGATTAATGCGATTAGTTGAATTAAACAGTTATAAATTTAAACATCATATAGGGAGAAGTTATTTATTATAGGGAGGGGGAGTGAAAGGGTGTTTTATGTGTTAGTGGGCTGAGGTTGGGGGTGGTGGGGGGCTTGAAATAATTTTGCACACAATCCATAGACAGTTTGTTAAATGTTCCATGACATAATGTATCCAATAATGATTGTTTATAACTGATAAGCAAATAGATATTTCTTGCCAAGATTTCCTTGTTTCGAAGCATATTTAACCTCATCTTCCGATCAATCCGATAGCGACACGTCACATACTGCAACTTCTGGAATATCCAATTCAAATTGTATACATATATTTTCAGCAATTACAACTACTTGTACTTGCGAGCTCGCATATCTGGGGGCCACAATGACGACCAGCGACAACAAATGTGTGTAAGTATAGCACTTAGGTCCAAGGTACATATGACAATAGAATGGATATAGTACCCTGGATCAACGAGGATGGGTACTGCATAGTGAGTGAGTATGGTCTTACGCCGCTTTTAGCAATATTCCAGCAATATCACGGCGGGGGACACCAGAAATGGGCTTCACATATTGTACTTATGTGGGGAATCGAACCCGGGTCTTCGGCGTGACGAACGAACGCTTTAACCATAAGGCTACCCGACCACCCCGAATAAATCAGGAACACTTTACACAAGTGTGTAAGTACATAGCAAATAGGTGGTTAAACCCTAAACGTCGCATCAAACAGCTTTACATGCTCAGCCGGTGTGACCGACAAACTAAGCCAAATAACACAGCTATTACACATGACATGATTAAGTGAACCCTCTCCAATCCGGACAACCCGCTTTTTGGACGATTGCGATTAATGTGCATGGTTTTAACTATCGGGAATGTCTATTTTTATACATTTATAACCATGATCTTTTTTTTCAAGAAATTTTCTTAATCTAGGTGTTTTCACTAATTCTGGTTGATTTCATTTAATCGGAGGTGATTTTTCTTAATCGGGGGTGATTTTACTTAATTGGGGGTGATTTTACTGGGAACGAATTTGTCTATTAACGGGTTTCGCCGTTGAGGCTTTGATAGAATTCACCACACTTGATCCACTATGAAGTGAATAACAAATATTACGACAAACAACTCAGGATAATTATATATTATTAATGGATAAAAGGGGCGGTGCGGAAGCCGAGTGGTTAAAGCGTTCGCTGGTCACGCCGATTCCCGACACAGATACAATGTCCGAAGCCCATTTTTGGTGTCCCCTGCCGTGATATTGTTGAAATATTACTAAGAGCGGCGTAAAAACATACTCACTCACTAATAGATAAAATCTCTCTGAGTCTTTCCTGGCCCTCATTAACTCATTGTCAATTTTATATTATTTTTTTAATAGATGAAACACTGTCAACATTTTTACAAATTGTCATTACATTAATCTTTTCCTTTTTACTTTATGTATGAAGTTGTACAAAACAAATCAAGTGACCCGTGAAGATCCGGGTTAGAATAGGTCTTCAGCAACCCATGCTTGCCGTAAAAGGCGACTATGCTTGTCGTAAGAGGCGACTAACGGGATCGGGTGGTCAGGCTCGCTGACTTGGTTGATGCATGTCATCGATCCTAATTGCGTTGATCGATGCTCATGATGTCAATCACTGGACTGACTGGTCCGGACTCGATTATTTACAGACCGCCGTCATATAGCTGGAATATTGCTGAGTGCGGCGTTAAACAACAAACAAACAAACAAAACTATTCATGTATTTGCATGACAGCCCTGAATGTAATATTTGCATCTGTTCAAAGCGCCCGTAAAATCTCAGCAAGTCAATCGGTCCATTCGTGATCAAATCGTGTTATCCGGGACTAGCCGAATAGTGACTCGTGCCCCTCTTGTGAACATTTTTGCGACTGGGTTCCGTCTAAGCGCAAACGGACATAGCTAAAGTGAGTGAGTGAGTGAGTGAGTATGGTTTTACGCCGCTTTTAGCAATATTCCAGCAATATCACGGCGGGGGACACCAGAAATGGGCTTCACACATTGTACCCATGTCGGGAATCGAACCCGGGTCTTCGGCGTGACGAGCGAACGCTTTAACCACTAGGCTACCCGACCGCCCCGACATAGCTAAAAGAATTGTCAACCCGTTGCGTAATGATTCACGTATATTTCCCCCATATATCATATATATTCCAGATGCTATTGAAAACACATCGGGACTGATGGTATTAATTTTTACAGTTTGATTGAACACATTTAACTGTATCTTGGGTATATTTTTAGATGCAAGACATATGTAAAATCAAAAATTATTCCTGAGGGATTCTTTGACCGAAATACTTGAAGTCATACGCGCATTCTCATTGGATTGGCGTATTTTCGATAATAACATTCATCGATAGGGGGACGAGTCTTCTTGAAGGTTACGGAAAGGGGCGAGTGGTGACGAATGGACGAGTAGGTTACGGTAAGGGGCGAGTGGTGACGAATATCAATCAGTCATTTACTTCGGAGTTTCTACTTCACAGAGCTGCAGCTAACTTCGTCCGCTGTGCATACGGCACTACCACCGCCGGCTGTGACTCCACCAAGACCAGCGCTGTCATGAGGCATGTGGCAAGGACGAAGGTCACAGCGTACTGCGGGTGTGCCGCGGGTGAGTCAAGATTAAAACAGATGGGATCATTTTGCTGGATTTCTGACAGGGATATTTTCCAGTTCTTGCAAGCGTTGTCGTGTTTTCACAGTCTCGACTTTTTTTTACAATGAGAAAAGTACGTGAAGACGAAAACGCGATATTGTGGTTTTTTTCAATTATTCAGAGGTTAAATGATTGTAGTCACCTGTCCATGTGTTCCTGGTCATAAGGGTCGACGGAAATGGCTCCGTCATATAGCTGAAAGAGGGTCGAGTGCGGCGTAAAACAATAATCAACATAGGAGCCTTAGTTATCCAGACGCTTGGTTAAACTCACAGTAGTATGGATCAACGGGGTTCCTACAACAAGTTTATAGTGCAGTTCCAGATTCAGCCGATTATACCTGACCAGTGAAGATCCGGGGTAGAATAGGTCTTCAGCAACCCATGCTTGCCGTAAAAGACGACTATGCTTGTCGTAAGAGGCGACCAACGGGATCGGGTGGTCAGGCTCGCTGACTTGGTTGATGCATGTCATCGTACCCCAATTGATTGGATCGATGTTAATGATGTTAATCACGGGATTGTCTAATCCGGACTCGATTATTCACAGACCGCCGTCATATAGCTGGAACATTGCTGAATGCGGCGTAAAACCACAAACAAACAGCTTTCATACATTGCCCAAAGCCCGTCTACAGGATCGGGCATCGTTATTACACAAGCATAGCAAATTACGAATAACTTTCCTCTCTGTCTCCAGGCAACGCCGTTCGAGTCTCCTTCATCAGCTTCGTGTTTGTTGCTGTCGGGATGCTTATGAAGAACTAGCACGTCTGAAGCTAGATCACTACCTTCCGCCAGGAGGCGCTGGGTGCTTTCCTCATTCCTTAATCGGAATTTATCCATCTTTATAAAGTTCGCGTACCTCTCTTCTCAATATCTGTCGTCCTATTTCGGCTGGAACAACATCCCCAGCAGTCCAATTCCCGACAACGCGAATGACGTGTAATTTGTACAACGAGTTTCACTGAATAAACGGCCTTGTCTTGGACATTTGTGTCTTACTGGAGTGTGTGAATGGACGTATTCGCCGTATTGCTCAGCATGGCCATGGAGGCGGGATGCAGAAAATCCGGTTTTAGTAGCTTAGCATCAATCCTGAATACACAATGTCTTTTAGAAAGCGGTCAAATGTAACAAAGGTTATATTTGAGTTGACACTTTCTTAGTAAAGTACGGGGCGGTCGGGTAGCCTATTGGTTAAAGCGTTCGCTCGTCACGCCGAAGACCCGGGTTCGATTCCCGACATGGGTACAATGAGTGAAGCCCATTTCTGGTGTCCCACTCCCGCCGTGATATTGCTTGAATATTGCTTAAAGCGGCGTAAAACTATACTCACTCACTTAGGAAAATACAGATTCTAGGACTTGTTTGGATTGAGTCCCATCTGGGATTCGAACCCTCACTCCCAGAGTGAGGCACCCAGATCACGTACTTCGTGTACCCCTCTAGAGTATACCGGTTGACGGACTTTCATTTTGTGTAAGCCTCGGTGGCTGAGTGGGTTAGATCGCTGACTTTGTATGCTGGCGATGAGGTGCCTCTCGTTGCTTCGTTGATTGTCTCGTTGCTTCGAGTTTTTTCTCGTTACTTTAAGTAAATAAAATTTCCTTGAATAAGCTTGAAATAACGAGCAAATAATCGAGATTACGAGAAAATAATTGAAATAACGACAAAAAACAAGAAGCAACGAAAAATAATGAAAATAACGAGAAATTTCTATTTTTTAAAAATATATACCACCAAAGTGGCACCATTAGGCTCTCGTAATTAAAGGACGCGCTGATATTAAAGGAAACTGTCCAGATATAGCATGGGGACGCGGAGGTGGGCAGTATATCCTATATACTGGTGCAGTGCTATAGTCCTCGCCACTTGAAGTAGAATCAAGAAATATCGGGATCATTAATTAACGAAGATAGCGACATGTGCGCTGATACTTATGAATGAAGTGAAAACAAGCCATTCCGCCGATAAGGAATATCACTTAAAGTAATAACAAAAATTTCAATGTGCGCATCTCAAGAAAAGTCCATTTTGCTAGCGATAAACATCATCACTGAGTTTTGCTCACGTGGTTAAAATCCGGGTAAGAATCATCAGGTCACTGCGAGCGGTTATATTTAGCAGTGAAGTAGTCAACAGCGCTTTAATTACTACATCTGCATGGTTTTCCTCCTTTTGTTTGTTTGTTTGTTAGTGATACAGCTTACACCAAGGGGCTAAAGGTTTTGCATCAGTAAACAACGCTAATAGGTTAATTCATAAATTTACAAACAGCTCGTGTTAATTTGGTGCAGCTGACAGCGACAGCAAGCATGCCGCCATTACCCACTGTTGCACCTATAGGTTAATACGGACACGCTTCGTGCGCACCTCCAAGAACACTTTAGCGATAACTGAATAATTAAACAAGCTTTATATATAGCAGCGACTGGTTTCAGCCGTCGTTGGTTTGGGTATTAAGATAAATATAAAATCAGGTGGGAACTAGTCAAATTTCTTCTTTTCACCTACCAATGATGGTTTGTTTGTTTGTTGTTTAACGCCGCGCTTAGTAATATTCCAGCCATATGACGGCGGTCTGGAAATAATTGAGTCTGGACCAAACAATACAGTGATTGACATCATGAGCTTCGATCCACGCAATTGGGATACGATGACATGAATCAACCAAGTCAGCAAGCCAGTCCACCCGTTAGTCGCCTACGATGATGGTGGTAATTGATTTGTAGATACGGAAAATCGGGTACAGATGTACTCATATAAACATATATAGCATCCTTATAAAATACCGGAGATCATGAAAAGCCATGATTCGATCATCTCATTTGTTAATCCGCGTTCTATTTTAGTTTGATCCGTAGTGCCCGGATTAACGATGTTTTCGTAGCTATTTTTAATATTATTTAAATCAGAACTCGTATGTATATTACAAGTTGTGCAAAGACCTGGTAGCGTGACCCAAGCTGATGACAGGGGTTCGATTCCCCACATTGGTAAAATGTGACAAGCCCACTCCACCAACTCCTATCAAGTTTCTGGCGTGCCCAAGGTACGCAACTCTGCACAGCGAGTTCCGACCCCTAAGACGTCTGGGCCACCCGTGACCCCCAGTCTTTCGGAAGCATACCCCTGCTCATAGGTAAAACTGGGAACATCTTTGACCGGCATCACTATTATACGGCCTATAGTCAAATAGATAGTGGGGCTGTGCTCTTTCCCATCATGATAACCTTGCATCAGGGATCACAAAACACAAGACACAGAATAAATGCAGTGGATTTAATATTGAAATGACATAAACAAGTGAAACATTCCATGCAGAAAAACAGGTGACTCTCCGCCCAATTTACTCCATCAGACATTGAGGTCTAAAGGATAATAAATTATGATACGAAATTGATATATATATATATGTTACCATAATACACATGCTTATAAAATCCTACAAATATATAAAACTTGGTAATACACATTCAGGTCAAACATTATTTCTATACATTATTATGTATAAATAATTTGGCAGTCAAAGTTTTCACTACATGCATAAATTGTGAAAAATATGGAAATTATTAACATTATCGTAACAACATTTGACAACTCTAGCCACAAGCTAAACATGCTCTGCAGCTCACCTGCATTGTGAGCGTCAACTTGGATATAACAGAAGACTGAAAACTTTGGATAACAGAACACTGAAGGGCCAATTGATATGAAGGACAAGTACTGGTTATGTGACATATATGTAAGTCTCAGATCTATAGTGGATCTCAAACCTGCAGTCTGTGATTTAGTAACCATGGCAACAGTTACTTTTGAAAATGATGCCAAGAAAACATTTAGGCTTGTAGACTCAGATGTTTTTGGCACAGACAGAATATGTGTACAGAGATGTCATATGAAGTTCTTCCTACTTTAACCCCCTAATGGGGGCAACCTGTCTAATTCTTGTCAGATATCTCTAAAGGGTGAGTAATATTCACACAGAAGTCACCACCATTCAATGACATGCCAGTTCAAGATCTGCCATAGACAGGAACCATGCCACAGATTTGAAGGACCATCACAGATAGGAGGCCCATGACAGATCGGAGTCCCACCACAGATCGGAGTCTCACCACAGAGCTGAGTCCCACCACAGAGCTGAGTCCCACCACAGATCGGAGTCCCACCTCAGATCGGAGTCTCACCACAGATCGGTGTCCAACCTCAGATCGGAGTCTCACCACAGATCGGAGTCTCACCACAGAGCTGAGTCCCACCACAGATCGGAGTCCCACCTCAGATCGGAGTCTCACCACAGATCGGTGTCCAACCTCAGATCGGAGTCTCACCACAGATCGGAGTCCCACCACAGATTGGAGTCCCACCACCGATCGGAGTCTCACCACAGATCATAGTCCCAGCACCAATCGGAGACCCATCACAGATCGGAGTCTCACCACAGATCGGTGTCCCACCTCAGATCGGAGTCTCACCACAGATCAAAGTTTCAGCACAGATCAGAGTCTCACCGCAGATCAGAGTCTCACCACAGATCGGAGTCTCACCGCAGATCAGAGTCTCAGCACAGATCAGAGTCTCACCGCAGATCAGAGTCTCACCGCAGATCAGATTCTCAGCACAGATCAAAGTCTCAGCACAGATCAGAGTCTCACCGCAGATCAGAGACCCACCGCAGATCAGAGTCTCAGGACAGATCAGAGTCTCACCGCAGATCAGAGTCCCACCAAAGATCTGAGACCCACCAAAGATCTGAGACCAACCACAGATTGAATCCCACCACAGATCGGAGGCTCACCACAAATCGGAGTCTCACCACAGATTGGAGACCCACCATAGATCGGAGTCTCACCACAGATCGGAGTCTCACCACAGAGCTGAGTCCAACCACAGATTGGAGTCTCACAGATCGTGGTTCCACAACAGATCGGAGTCTGATACATGTCTTGACAGTGACACACACATAAGGCCAATCACCACTAAAACATTAATAAATGGTTATGTAATGAAACAAACATCATCCAAATGATCTGTGGATCCTCCATGCAAATTTACCGATCCCTCGTCAATACCTCAGCTCCAGGGGAGATGAACAACATGGCAGAGAGATGGCAGACAACAGCCTGCCTGAATCAGGTTAACAAAACATTGCATCGCATCCTTATTGCATATACGTTAAACACTGATCCCTGCATACAGGTAGGATCTCAGAAATAATCAAAATAACATTTTAACTGTCGAAATGTCCATTAAAAGATGGATGAGAATTCTGTGGCACTGTTTGTACAGACACTGATGCAGAGTTTCAGCCATAATGATTTTATGTTCTTGGAGGAGATTCTGGAAAGTAAAGTTATTCATGAATGGAGGGAGACAAAGGTGTGAGAGTGAGTTGGGTTTAACGCCGCTTTTAACAGGATTACAGTTACATCACGGCGTGTCACCTTAATGTGGGAGGAAAGCCCGAAGTGATGCAGGTCTCAGACGTTTACCACTTCGGTGAAACCCACGAGCACGGGTATGGTGCTGACAAACCTATAATTGGGACAAACCGGGATTCGAACCCACAATCATAGGTTTCTGGCGTGCCCAAGGGACACAACTCTGCAAAGTGAATCGTGGTGCCTTAGATGACTGGGCAACCCGTGCCCCTGGGAGACAAAGGACCAAGTGTCATGAAATAATTTGACATGTGATCAAGCTAGCTAAACCCTGCCCTGCCTAACATCTAAATCTAGCTTCAATATAAGCAACTTGTCCCAACTTCAAATTGATCCCATCATAACTTGTCAGATCTGCAGCGTTTGGGTGGCCAAGAGGTTAAACTGTTAGATCGTCTCACCAAAGAGCAGGGTTTCATTTCCCTCATGGATACAATGCATGAAGCCCTGGTATCCTCAACGTAATATTGCTGTGATATTGCTAAAAGCGGAGTAAACCCACTTCATTCAGTCAGTAACCATCATCCTGACTACCTATCCATGTCTTTCCATGGTTCATACACCAGTATCTTATTGCAAGATTGTTTAGAATACTTAAATCCCTTTCATACATGAACATGATAGTTTCAAAACACTGCCTCCATACAATTAACAAGATCAAAGGGACATGTTCCATTCACCCATAATGTGGTAATATTGGTATATTTTACTGGGGATGGTTCCTGGATCATCCAATGTATTATATCTCCATTGTCATGTTAAGTACCCTTGACCCATTCACCGCCATAACTTCATTTCGGAAATAACGTCACCAAGACTACAAAAGTTCAGCACACAACATTAAAAATTGCAGCCATGCATAAGCAATCCCTTGGCATATATAATCAAATCAGGCAACATTCTTTTTAAATATTCTTTTGCTAGAAAAGTTGTTTTCATATATTCATGAGTGATTGAGTGAGTTTTATGTAGTGTTACAAATATTCCCGCATTATCTCGGTGGGGGACACCGAAAATGGGCGTCATACATTGTACCAAGTGGGGAATCAAACCCAGGCCTTTAGCATGACAAGTGAACGATGTAACCAGTCAGCTACCTCATCGCCCATCTTCATAAGTATTAGGTCCTTCTACTGCAAAGCATTCCCAGTTGTGTTAGAAACATCATGCATCATGGCGAGTTATAGACCAGTGATGTTGCAGTTTTTCCTCATGAACGAACAGTGTAATTTCACTTGACAGTTATTTTTAGAGTATCACTGGAGCCAGACACAAACGAAGCTATGGTGGCGAATGGGTCCAAGGTACATATGACAATAGAATAATACCCTGGATCATCGAGGATGGGTACTGCATAGATTACAGGGTTTCATCATGTGTCACTGTGCTTTTCAATCATGTTAATTTCATTTCAATGTAACTAATCATGACAAGAGAGAAAAAAATACTTCTTCCGTATAATTTTTATATTCATCAATGCTATAAAGATCTATAAATTAGGAACACACAACACAAGATATGACAGACAGAATGAGACAGTAATACCAGTTATTGCTACTTTTAATTTTATCATCATATTCAAAGTAACAATTCTGTACTGAAAAAATGCCATTTTAATCAGAATGTTAGTTTAAACAAAACCAATAATACTGTTTCAAAGGTGTCACCCATAATACACTCCATTGTAACACATAATTCATGTGTTGTCAGCAAACCCCACTGGCCCACCCTTATAATAAATGAGCAGGCCCTTAATGGCCTCATTTTATTTGAAGTATTCTAAATTATCTCTATATTGTTCATCAACACTCTCAAAAACAATAATATTTTTTACTCATAAATTGATGATTTATTTACATCATAAAAGTATAATCCTGTTTTTGTGGAACTTCATACAATAAACAGAAAAAAATGTAAATATGAACGTGTAGGACAAAAAAGCAAACTGTCAATATCAATTCTAAAATAACTGACATAAATATGGGAACTACCTTCTCTTGGTTCTACAGTTTGACTGGAGCAACCAACCCGTAATGCCCATAATGCCCTGTACATCATGCTCATGTAAGGGAGACAACTCTGTACAACTGTCAGCCTCCAGGACCACTTGGGCACCCTGAACCAATGGCAGCTTCTATTGCATCACTTACTTAAGAGGTTTTACAACCTGCAGTATGCCCACATATGAGAGGATCTAGTGAGCTTCCACATGCAATGGTTGATGTGTTACCCCTGATTGTGTACCTAATACTACAGTCCTCAAGGTACTAACATGAAAAACAGCCGGATCCAGAGGAGGATGGGGGTGGGTGGGGGGGGGGGTTTAGTGTTTAAAGGTCTAACCTTATTAATAAATCGACAGCTAGCCAAAGGTTTTGAGAAAAAAACATCTGTTAACCAAATAAACACAAGGATCTGATGTATACACACATTTGGGGCATTTTGGGCATGCAAAATCATCATGTAGCATGTTTAGGAGTTGACAGAATATGACGAACATTTATCTTGTGTTTCTGTGACACAACATTCCAACTGATGGTGGTAACATTGGCATCCAGTGGACCAAATCACAACAGAACAAGACAACTGTATATAAACGTAACCATGGTAACAGAAGAACAAATAACAACCACAGTGATCAATAAATAAATAACCATGTACACAAGTTCGGGATAAACAGTCCCCTGTGTATATTCAAGGAGGAATATTTCAACTACAATATCTTTGGAGGTGTTTAATGGGGATTGGGTGGACACAGCTGCGTGGGTGTTTAATAGGGAGTGGATGGGCACAGCTGCATGGGTGTTTAATAGGGATTGGATTGACACAGCTGCATGGGTGTTTAATGGGTATCTGGTGGACACAGCTGCATGGGTGTTTAATGGGGATCTGGTGGACACAGCTGCATGGGTGTTTAATGGGGAGTGGATGGGCACAGCTGCATGGATGTTTAATGGGGAGTGGATGGACACAGCTGCGTGGGTGTTTAATAGGGAGTGGATGGGCACAGCTGCATGGGTGTTTAATGGGTATCTGGTGGACACAGCTGCATGGGTGTTTAATGGGGATCTGGTGGACACAGCTGCATGGGTGTTTAATGGGGAGTGGATGGGCACAGCTGCATGGGTGTTTAATAGGGAGTGGATGGGCACAGCTGTATGGGTGTTTAATAGGGATTTGATGGACACAGCTGCATGGGTGTTTAATGGGGATTGGATGGACACAGCTGCATGGGTGTTTAAAGGGGATTGGGTGGAGACAGCTGCATGGGTGTTTAATAGGGAGTGGATGGGCACAGCTGTATGGGTGTTTAATAGGGATTTGATGGACACAGCTGCATGGGTGTTTAAAGGGGATTGGATGGGCACAGCTGTATGGGTGTTTAATAAGGAAGTGGATGGGCACAGCTGTATGGGTGTTTAATAGGGATTTGATGGACACAGCTGCATGGGTGTTTAATAGGGAGTGGATGGGCACAGCTGCATGGAGGTTTAAAGGGGAGTGGATGGGCACAGCTGCATGGGTGTTTAATAGGGATTGGATTGACACAGCTGCATGGGTGTGTAATGGAGAGTGGATGGGCACAGCTGCATGGGTGTTTAATGGGGAGTGGATGGACACAGCTGCATGGGTGTTTAATGGGGAGTGGATGGGCACAGCTGCATGGGTGTTTAATGGGGAGTGGATGGGCACAGCTGCATGGATGTTTAATGGGGAGTGGATGGACACAGCTGCATGGGTGTTTAATGGGGAGTGGATGGGCACAGCTGCATGGATGTTTAATGGGGATCTGGTGGACACAGCTGCATGGGTGTTTAATGGGGAGTGGATGGACACAGCTGCATGGGTGTCTGAAGGGGATTGGATGGGCACAGCTGCATGGGTGTTTAATGGGGAGTGGATGGGCACAGCTGCATGGATGTTTAATGGGGATCTGGTGGACACAGCTGCATGGGTGTTTAATGGGGAGTGGATGGACACAGCTGCATGGGTGTTTAATGGGGAGTGGATGGGCACAGCTGCATGGGTGTTTAATGGGGAGTGGATGGGCACAGCTGCATGGATGTTTAATGGGGAGTGGATGGACACAGCTGCATGGGTGTTTAATGGGGAGTGGATGGGCACAGCTGCATGGATGTTTAATGGGGATCTGGTGGACACAGCTGCATGGGTGTTTAATGGGGAGTGGATGGGCACAGCTGCATGGATGTTTAATAGGGAGTGGATGGGCACAGCTGTATGGGTGTTTAATGGGGATCTGGTGGACACAGCTGCATGGGTGTTTAATGGGGAGTGGATGGGCACAGCTGCATGGATGTTTAATGGGGAGTGGATGGACACAGCTGCATGGATGTTTAATGGGGATCTGGTGGACACAGCTGCATGGGTGTTTAATGGGGAGTGGATGGACACAGCTGCATGGGTGTTTAATGGGGAGTGGATGGGCACAGCTGCATGGGTGTTTAATGGGGAGTGGATGGGCACAGCTGTATGGGTGTTTAATGGGGAGTGGATGGACACAGCTGCATGGGTGTTTAATGGGGAGTGGATGGGCACAGCTGCATGGGTGTTTAATGGGGAGTGGATGGGCACAGCTGTATGGGTGTTTAATAGGGATTGGATGGACACAGCTGCATGGATGTTTAATGGGGAGTGGATGGGCACAGCTGCATGGATGTTTAATGGGGAGTGGATGGGCACAGCTGCATGGGTGTTTAATGGGGAGTGGATGGGCACAGCTGCATGGATGTTTAATGGGGAGTGGATGGACACAGCTGCATGGGTGTTTAATGGGGAGTGGATGGGCACAGCTGCATGGGTGTTTAATGGGGATCTGGTGGACACAGCTGAATGGGTGTTTAATGGGGAGTGGATGGGCACAGCTGCATGGGTGTTTAATGGGGAGTGGATGGGCACAGCTGCATGGATGTTTAATGGGGATCTGGTGGACACAGCTGAATGGGTGTCTGAAGGGGATTGGATGGACACAGCTGCATGGGTGTCTGAAGGGGATTGGATGGGCACAGCTTGCTTGGTGTCTAAAGGGGCTTGCATGGGATTAAAGTTCATTATCAGGGTAAATATATGATCATTCAAAGTCAAGCTGTTATTAGTGACTCAAAACATCCTGAAAAGTTGATTTTGTCAGATGGAAAACTTGCAGATGTGTTAACAATCCAACCTCCAAACTTTACGGAACAAAAAAAGTAAGGGATCATGAATATATTTTGGAAAATACTTTTGTAGTGGAGGCTGAGCACACAATTTCATCAAAATATTAATCACCCCTAACTTCCTTTGCCTCGTATTTAAAAATTAAGATTTTATCCAACATTTGAGCTGCTCGTGAATAGCTCTCTTAGACAATACAACATGTTTCGTGATGTCATTGAAAATCTAATACCGGCTATTGTGATATGGTAAAGAAGCATCACATACTTCCACAGCAAATGACTTGAGGCCCAACCAAAACATTTAATACTACTAAATGTTTGATAATACATGCACATATTGTCAGTCGAGTTGGAAATTAATATGGCTTCCTTTAGAATTTCTGACATAGCATGTAAATCCAGGCACCCAATAACATTTTAACATTTAACATTAGGGAGATGATGAGGACTTCCTATTTGTTTGTTTGTTGTTGAACGCCACACTCAGCAATATTTGAGCCAGACAATCCAGTGATTGACATCATGAGCATCGATCTACGCAATTAGGATACGATGACATGCATCAACCAACCAGGCTGACCACCCGATCTCGTCAGTCGCCTCTTATGACAAGAATAGTCGGATGGGTTCCTGAAGACCTATTCTACCCGGGATCTTGTATCAGTAAATATTACTTTTACAATTCATTTTGTAACAATGTAATATTATTCTTATTTAATATCTATGCATCGTACCATACCAGAACATGACCTCACATCACAATGTTTTTCTATGCACAGATATGAATGCTTCAGTAAATCATTACAGCCCTGGGTTCTAATCCACAAAGCAATCTTAGCACTAACACCTCGTAGCACTAACACCGCAGGGTTTTACCTAGACATGTGAAGTAGGGGCCTAGGAAGCCCCCAATTAGAAATCTAAGGGACCTTGCAGGCAGTTTGAGGGTCCAGTAAAGTAATGAAACGGTTTAGTGTACTGTACGTTTAGATAACTACTTATGAGCCTGGAATGAATCAATGATCATGTAGACAGTGGTCATATTTGCTGGATAAAATAACAGACTACCATAACTGCTCTCAATACTCTGTAGGTACAATAAATATTATTGCGCGTCCCTTGGGACCCAGTAAATATTTTTTTCGAGTCCATTCTTTTTTAGCATACAGGACTAATATCTGTGTATTGCGTAAAAACCCTGAATATGTCTACAAAATTCGACTGCCCTAAAACGATGACGATTAATATCACTATGTGGAACGGGGTCCAGTAAAAAGGGGAGACAACTTTCCACTTTCAGTGGCAGATCCAGAGGGAGGGGTTCTGGGGTGGCACCCTCTTTTTTTTAACATCTGAAGACATTTTGTATGTGCATTTCCTAACATGTTGATTTGGTTGTTGGTTTGGAGCACCTCTTTTTTTAAAATCCTGGATCCACCAATGACTGTGCAAAAGCTGAAATAGTGTTTTATCACCTAGTTGTATCCATGGGGATAGAACTGGTGCTGCTGCTGCTGCTGCTGCTGGTAATATGCCTGGATCATAGCTGCATCATAAGGCTGCTGGTTATTGCCTACTGAAGTCACTGTCTCGTACGTCTGGGTGGAGTCAGGGGTCGAGACCTGAGGGACAGATGCTGGGGTCAAGGTTGTGACTACTTGAGCAGCTTGGAGGTTGAGAGGCGACACGGCCTGCTGCAAGCTGGTGACAACCGGGTAGGGGGTGTGGGGGGAGTCGGAGGGTGGGGGAGGGCTGATGGGAGAATGCTGCATGTAGAAGTGGCTGGCGTTGGCGGCCATGGTGTGCTGTCTCTGAGGGCTAAGTGTCGGACTGGAGGAGGGTGGCTGATCAGGGACTTGGGTCTCGGTGGCAATGGTAGTGATGGGTATCGTGGACTCCACTGCATAGGTTGTGATGCTCTGAGACGTGGCCGAGTCTGTTGTAGACAGGGGAAGCAGAATGGCATGCATTGCGTGTTCTGCTGCGATGACATTGACCGCTCTGTCTAGAGCTGCGGTGGCTGTCAGGGTCAGTGGAACTTCAGCCGTGGGCAAGGAAGTGTCTTGCACATTCAGCGAAGTGTCTGCCATCCCAGAAGTGTCGGAGGCTGCATGTGCCATACCTGACTGATCCAGGCTTCCAGTTTCAATATACACCTTATGGGCATCAAACCCAGGTTCCAGCGTCTTCAGCTGGGACATGAGGGCCTTGATACGTTCAGGGTCATATTTATGCTTGTTACAAAGATGCAGCCTCATGTTGCCTCTCGTCGTACTCTTGTACGGACAATCGGGACAGCTGAACGGCTTCTCCCCCGTGTGTGTCCTCATATGAACAAGTCGCTGGGTTTTCGTTTTGAAAGTTTTGTTACACTCGGAGCATGAATGTTTTCTCTCATCACTGTGTCTGTGGAAGACATGACTGTTGAGGCAGGTCCTGCTCTTGAATCCCTGCCCACACACCTCACACACAAACGGGGTCTCTTCCTGGTGGATCAGCTTGTGGTCCTTCAACTGAAACTTGGTGAAGCACTCCTTGCCACAGATGTCACAGGTAAACGGTTTCCACCCTTGTGGCAGCGGAATGCCATGCCGGAAATACTTGTGGTAGTGGATGTAGTAGAAGTTAGGATCCTTAGTCTTGTAGCCACAGATATCACAAACTTTGGGACTAAATTCCCTCCTGCGTATCACAACATTGCTAATCACCTCATCGGCCGTAACTTCGTGAGTGTTCAGCAGATGAGTCACGCTCCGCTTCGGGAACACGAACTCATTGCCGCACAGCTCACACTTATACTGCCGTTCACCCTCCTCAATGTGTTCCGCCATTCTCTCCAGTTCACTAGCTAGCTGGCTCGTGATGTCGGCTTTGGGCCATCTCTTCCTCTTCTTAGGTCGGGGCTTGGTGATCCTGGGAGCTGCTGGCTTCTCCAGCTCTTTGGCTGGGCTCGGACTCGGGCTGAGGAAGATCATTGGCAGGTCGTACTCATCATCCTCATCATTCTCCCTCGTCAGGCGGTTCAGCTCCATCTTTGCTCTCTTCTTTGGAGGAGGTCTCACAGCCACATGGGTCGGAAGAGGCAATTTCCTGGAAACACAAACGGGACATGATCAATTATCACCCCTGTCAATGCTTCACAGTTATCTGTCATGTATTGACTACTTTTCTCTATCACCCCAGAATACACTGGGCTGAAATGTGGTGCAGTAGAGGTGTGTCTAAGTTTAGTCAGCTACTGATAAGATGCCATGTGTGAACCCCAACGCTGCCTCTCATTGAGGCGATGTGTAGAGCAGATACCACAAGGTTTTGGCTCATGTTACATTAGAAGTCAAGTGAGAAACATTGATGTTTGTGCTCTCTTTGAGGACTCCTTGGTTTGCCTCAGTCAGTGACCGTAAATGTCTGACTGAGGCATTCCTTCATTCACATAGCCTAAGGGGCAGGTCATTTATTATAGAGCTGGGTGGGTGAGAGAGAATCAGGGGAGGGTTACCAAAAAATATGACAGTTTCTAGGGGAGGGTTTAAAAAACATTACACAAATTTGTTGAGGGTGATAAAATATAGACATTTTAATGTAATGAAATATAAAGTGTTTTTGCATTTTGTCTTTCGGGGAGGGTCATGACAAAAATAAATAAATATATATATATATATATATATATATATATATATATATGAGGAGAGTCATCCACAAGCATTAGTGGAGGATCCATATTTTCACATCAGTGCATTAGTGCATGAAACATTTCTGGCTCTTACCCCCGTTATAAATTTCTTACCTTGCCCTTCCCTTCTTGCCTTTCTTCATCCCTGTCAAAGCATCAGATGCAGTGTCTGGATTTCCAGGTACCTCATCCAGGATAGGCTGAGTCATCACCATATTGGCACAAACATAGTTCCCCTCAGCTGCTTCATTGATGCTGCTAGTGATTATTTCAGGCATACTCGGTGTGACAATAATTGTCGTATCACGCATGCTTGTCTCCATGGTAACAGGCAGAGTGGTGCTAACCTCCTTATAGCCTAGCTCCACGGACTGAAGCAGCTTCTGTTTCCTGCCCTGAAGAGTGGGAACTGGACTCTCCTCCACCGCCCCTCTGTCCATGGAGTCCATGTCCAGCACCATGCTATCACCAGCATCGGCCATCTCCAGCAATATGTCCGAAGCACCCAAGGGCTGTTTCCACTTTGTAAGGGTATAACCATGTTTCACATCATTAAAACTTATGGATTTCTCAACAGTCTGCCCAGGCTTGCCTCTTCTACTGGACTCCTTGGCAGCGTTTCTTGCCTGAAATCTGCCTTTTGGTCCTGCCTTCACCACAGGCCCAACCACCTCCTCCTCTACCTCATCCTCTTCCTCCTCTTCCCACACATCCTCTACAACCTTGGGGGCAGTCGCTCCCCTGGTGCCGTATCTGTGCCCTGCAGCTTTTGAGATTGTCCCTGTAACCCTTTTCTTATGTCCACGTTTGGGTCGACCCCTTTTCGCTCTTTGCAAAGGGGATTTAGCAATCTCAGACATTGCCTTGAAGTAACTCTCTTCTGTCCCCACATTTTGATCCTTCTTGGAATTCTTGCTTGAGTTCTCAAATGACACCTTCAACTTAGGCCAGCTTCCAACGTTGGTGGACATGTTGTGCTTAATCATGATCCCATAGCACAGATGTTCCAGATTATGGATTTCAAATATTTTGGATAACACTTTTATCTCTTTCACTATTCCAAGGTTAACTTTGACCTTGCCAAGGTAGAGGAACGTCACAAACACTTTCAGGGTAGTTTCAGAGATGTGCACCGGGACGATGATGCTAGCAAACCTGGAGTCGATGCCTTCCGACAGGAGGCTCGCGAACCGCTCACTGGACATGGCTAGCACCAGCTTGTGGAGCTGAAACAGATTTAGATTAACAGTCTATTTCTTATGAATGTGAGTGAGTGAGTTGAGTTTAACAGCTTTTAACAGTATTCCAGTTACATCACGGCGTGTCAGCTTAATGTGGGAGGCAAGCCCAAAGAGATGCAGGTCTCAGACGTTTACCACTTCGGTGAAACCCACGAGCACGGGTATGGTGCTGACAAACCTAGAAACATAATCGGGGCGAACCGGGATTCAAACCCACAATCATAGGTTTCTGGCGTGCCCAAGGGACGCAACTCTGCGCAGCGAATCACGGCGCCTTAGACAACTGGGCCACCCGTGCCCCCACTTATGAATGTAGTCACCTGACAGCAGTGAAAGGTTGTTTGTTTTGTATGTTTGTTTATTACTTAATGCTGCACTCTCGCTGTACCATGTATATGACGGCTGTCTTCAAATAATCAAATCTGGACAGACAATCTTGTCATCGATGTCATGAGCATCGATCTACACAATTGGAACACGATGACATGCATCAACCAAGCCAGCCATCCTGATCACTGATCCTAATAGTCCTGTCTTACACCAAGGATGGGTTGCTGAAGACCAGTTCTAACCCAGATCTTCACTGGGCTATTTGTCTTGATTGTCTGGTCCAGACTAGATTATTTACAGACCACGTCATATAGCTGGAATATTGCTGAGTGCGGTGTTAAACAACAACCATCCAACCAAGGAATTAATCATGTTAATCACTATGGTATATTTAGGGGGTAAACATGCTCTGCTTTTAATGTTGACCTAGGTTACCCAATGATTTAAGCGTTTCAAACCAAACATGCAGCATAAGGTTTCAAAAGTTTAAAATAGAGCAGTTAACATGGTTAAATTAACAGGTAAAAGTTAAACACAGTATGTTTACATCCATTCGTTCATGACTAAACTATACAGGATCGGATGGTCAGGCTCGCTGACTTGGTTGATGCATGTTATTGATCCCAATTGCGTGGATCGATGCTCATGATATCAATCACTGGATTGTCTTGTCCAGACTAGATTATTTACAGACCGCCGTCATATAGCTGGAATACTGCTGAGTGCAGTGTTAAACAACAAACAAACAAAACTATTGAAGGATATACCTTGATAGTAAACTTGCCCGTGGAGATGGAAGCATCACACAGCTTGTGCTCAGTCATCAAGTTGAACAGCAGCAGCCGGGTCTGGTCCCCCCATTCCTGGTCATACAGCTCCACCTCCTCCGCCGGATTGATTCTCACCGGCCGCTGGGTCGTCTTCGCCTTCTCAGCCACCTTCTTGGCGGGAACATTGACGACCATCTTCATCTGTGTGTCCACACAAGTGGGCGAGGACATCATGACTGTGTTGCCCATGCTGTGGGAGCTGTACTGGTTCTGCTGGTGTTTCAGCATAACTCTCCCATACTCTGTCATTCCAGCTTTGGGGAGCAGAGCAACATCTTTAATGTCTTGGTTCATTGAGTGGGTGTTGCTTTCAAAAAGTGGTAAACTGTCACTAATATTTTTCGGAAGATGTCTGTAGGTTGTCTCTGCTTGATGTTGATGAAGAGTCTGTTGTGGCAGAGACTTCGCCGTCTGCTCATCTAGAACCACAGTATGTACAATCTCCAAACCTTTACTTCTGAGCAGCTCATAATTCCTTCTATCAGTGTCAACAGATCGGGAAAAGCCACTAGGGTCTTCACAGCTCTTATCCAAACTGGAATCAACAGAATAGGTTGTAAATTTATCGGTTCCAGGATCCGTCTGGGCAAGAGCAGACTGTAGGTAGGCCTGCTGGACGATATCCGTGACCTGAGCTTCGTACACAGCTTGCGATCCTGCGTTTGGCACAAACCCTCCATACTGACCATCTTCTGCAGCGTGGGCTTGAGACCAAGCGACCAGCTGGGAGGGATGCGTCATCCCGATGTCGGGGATGGTGCTCTGTAGGTCGGCGGACGACACATCATTGACCCCAGGGTCCTGGCCATCACCTGGGTAGTCATCCATCCCTACCAGTGTCGCTCTGTTACCCTGCAACATACACCAGTCTATATAAACCACATAAACAGTCCCCACTGTATTCCACTGCCAAAAAATCTACATTCTGCGAAAAAAAAATTAAAAAATCGGCAACCAATTTTTTATAATTCTTCACACAATTCTGCAAATGTTTAAGCCTAGTTTTATGAATTTTGCACCAGTTTGACCTGTGATGGGCATTTTTGTGATAAACTTATCCATGGCTAGAACAGCTTATTGAAGTGAATCTGGTGATCATTAGTGTAAACATACAGACATGCGCTTTCAGTAAGCAATAATACAAAAGTCAGCTTCACTTCAAAACAAAATCAGGAAATTGATTCCATTTAAAATGTTCATCCATTTCTCAAAATATGAAATGTTTGTAAATTCTTTTTTCTTTTTTGGAATGTCACACAAACAGCTCAAATGCTTATTTGGAATGATTTTACAGTGTTTGAGTAATACAATAAACCTCCCCAACCCACTTTTGAAAAACATATGTAGGACATACAGGTCCTGTAATAGAAGCAGTTATCATCACTTACAGTACAGCATACCGTATTCAGCATAACAAGTGTTCAGGAAGTCTCAAAATTAGAAATAGGGGGCGCTTATTAGAATATGATTTTGATGGAAAAATAACAGACTTGAAAGATCCTAAAGTTTGTGGTTTGTTGAACACAGAAAACGATCGCCCTCAGTATTTTAGATATACAATGTATAGTCAAATCCTGTTAATCTGACATGGCTGGTTGCATATGATTATGTCGGATTAACGAGTATGTCGGATAAACGAAATTAAGTAGTACTAACGTTCATCGGTCATAGTTCGTTAAAGGTTCTTCTTACGTGACCTGTAATGGGATGTCCTCGGCGATAGTGAGAATTTGTATCTGATTTTAACGAGATTGAGGTAATCTAAGCTTATGATTAATCCAGTTTTCTTTATTTAAAGCATTAATTGTTTATTGTTAAGCAAGTTTATCTCCGCAGCTTTGTAATGTGAAGCTACCATGCAGCGGACTTATATCGCATCAAAACACGGGCTGTGTACTCGCTGGCAGATGACAACGGAGTTTGCTGATCACTGTGTCTGATTAACAAGACTGATTAATGAGCGATTTCGGTAATTTGTTGCAAATTAGGTGTGTCGGAGTCGGAGTGCGAGACTGTCAGATTAACGGATCTAAAGAGCACTGATTTAATCGGTTCCCATCATTAGTGTCGGATTAACGAGACTTGACTGTATATGACTCTTACAAATAATACGGGGGCACGGGTCGCCCAGTCGTCTAAGGCGCCGCGATTCGCTGTGCAGAGTTGCGTCCCTTGGGCACGCCAGAAACCTTTGATTGTGGGTTCGAATCCCGGTTCACCCCGATTATGTTTCTAGGTTTGTCAGCACCATACCCGTGCTCGTGGGTTTCACCGAAGTGGTAAACGTCTGAGACCTGCATCACTTCGGGCTTTCATCCCACATTAAGCTGACACGCTGTGATATAACTGGAATAGTGTTAAAAGCGGCGTTAAACCCAACTCACTCACTCACTACAAATAATACTGTGTGCATGCTTGCACGTATTCACTTACATATCTACGTATTTGTGATAAGTAAAAATCATCCTCAATGCCCATTGTTCCAAACGGGAAGTACCGGGAATCAGAAGGTGAAGTTGAAAATATCAGCAAATATCGTCATGGGCGCTTAATAGAGCAGGGCACTTATTACGTCGAATACGGTAGTACACCATTTTATTACTTTACAGAGCCCTCGTATTTCCTGTAAGTACTATCATGGGATAACATTTATACTAAGTTATCCTATAATAATTAGACCTACATCAAGTGCTTTTATGAGTTATCATGGTGTAATATTTATACATCATTTCATATAATTATAGTTTACCAAGTAATAAATATCATTTGGTAAAATGCATATATAAAATATCAGTAGTTTCAGTTAAAGCTTTTTTAGATGGTTGCTAGCCTAAGGTAATGGGAGCGCGTCTTCTAGACATACTATTCAATAAGACAAGAGTTACGTCTACATAGTTTAATTGATTTGAAGCTTTTAGATAAATGCTAGCCTAAGGTATCAAGATCCCATCTCCTAGACAAAGGATATTTATTTCTTGGTAAACTATAATTATATGAAATGATGTATAAATATTACACCATGATAACTCATAAAAGCACTTGATGTAGGTCTAATTATTATAGGATAACTTAGTATAAATGTTATCCCATGATAGTACCATGGAATTTAATTATTGGGGGTCTGTGGGCTAAAAATAGATTAATAGAAATAGAAATACTGTATTCGACGTAATATGCGCCCCGCTCTAATAAGCGCCCACGGCAATATTTATTGGCTTTATATTGGCTTGTGAACAATCCCAATTAGCACCCCTTCCGATTGATCAATGTACACAATACTTATTTAATCGTGTATAATACGCACTGGTGTGTTATATGCACCCTTAATAATAAGCCACAACACAAATACTGTCAGTAGGGAGAGGAGGTCACAATGACAACATTTGTTAAGCTGTAGCCGACCCATATGAATTCTGTGATTCAGCGATTGCTGAAAGATTTGTAGAAAAATATATCTTAACGCAGCATTGCAGAAAAATCATAATATTTGACTTTTGACTTTTCAATCAATAGACTAATTTTCATTTTTTCAAGCTTTTCTATCGAATTTTCGCTCCTGAATGATGCCCATACATTTAACATGCAATTCAAACAATTTAAACTATGAATCCACCGATACAACGAAATTTCCAATATATATTTCTGACCTGTAAATGTTCTTGTGACATGATTATGACACAAACTATGTTTACATCTAATATACATAAACATAAGTGACATAATGCATATTTATATGCATTATTTGATGTCTTATCCAATGATAACTGTTTATAATGACAGTTTGTGGAATTATTTTGTTTCAGATTTTGATTCAAGTTTTCAAAAAATGAGTTAATATTTGAAGGATCAATGGCCAATTGGTTACCGTATTCGACGTAATAAGCGCCCTGCCCTTATAAGCGCCCACAGCAATATTTGCAAATATAATGGCTAGTGAACAATCCCAATTAGCACTCCTTCCGATTGATCATTGTACACAAAACATATTTATTCGTGTATAATATGCACTCGTGTGTTTATGCACCCTTAATTATGGGCAATTTAATTCTGGAAAATATATCTGTCGTGTACAATACACACAGACTTTTCTTTTGTATCATTTCAGGCTGTCAGCATAAACCACGAAATTTACAATCTTTCAACTTTTTTTTTCTTCAACAAAATAATATTCTAATAAGGGCCCCCTATTTTTAATTTTGAGAGCGCCCTGGGCGCTTATTACGCCGAGTGCGGTGTGTATTTACTACAGAATTTACAGCAGAAATGTGTTGTACATAGGAAATGAGACATATCTATCAGGCAAATCTATGCGTAGGCCTACATACAGTGATATAATCCGTAGGAGGGTGGGTTTAAAATCAAGTTTTTGGCCCAAAGTTTACTAGACACACGTACTTTACACTTACTTTACCATGTTTACCTTCAAATCAATGTTCACCATGCAATAGTCATGTTGAAAAATATTAAACTATAAATACTGGGTTTTAGATATTTGATCATTTTCTAGGACACTGTCCAATGGTCATCCAAAATTTCTCAAACATATTTTTCAAATTCGGTAATGATATACTATACTGTCTTTAATAAGTTTACAAAAATCATTAAAAATGTCCTATACTCCAGCAAAATCACTGTAAATATTATAAGAAACACAGGGATTTACAAACAAATTATTCTTTTTACATTTAACTTACCAATTTAAGTCATTGGGCTTTTTACAATTTCAATGTTTGTAATTTCAATGATTGTAATGACAAAATATAAATATCATATCAACCTTTATTTGTAAATTAACATGATTAAGTGAGAATGACTCAAAATATTTTACAGCTGTCAAGTTAAACTTTCATATTTCTAGTATGATAATAAATAATTCAATATCTCAAGCTATTAACCTAAAGTTTTTTCTTGTGGATTTCTTTTCACAAAATGTATTATTTTAGGCCTAGCTTTTTCTATCTGTTCAATAAAAATAAAAATATTATACAGATACAAATGTCACGAAATAATACCCCAAGGTATTTTTGTAGTATATAAAATATTTCCCTATGAATGTGTGGACTGAAAACATTGTCAGTTAGCTTTGAGACGTCCCGTTATAAAAACATCTCAATGTGGGTCAGCGGTTTCTAAAGCTTCCCGACCATTCTATACTTCGTATCAGATAAGTCACGATCCCTTAACTTTCCCGACTGAAAACTGGCTTTTTAATTCGTTTTGAACATTGTCATGGTCTCATTTGCAAAATACGCGACACGCCCCACCGATTTAGACAACTTATAGTTGCCACAAGTACTACTACAGCTTCCAGTTCGACATTAGACGTTTCTGTTTGCGCGAGGCGCAGTCAAATTATCTGACATGGCGGCCATTTTTAGCCAAGCGGAGCATAACCCTATTAATAAAACATTCATATTTGACTTTACGCACGGTTAAAACTACATATCGCATATTCCCATCATTAAAAAGAACAATGTGCTTTACCGATCCAGATTCTTGGAGCTGTCCAATATGTTATAATGCCGATTTTGATGAAGTTTTAACACACATCGCTTCGTTGTCCAAAACAGACTTCAGTAATGTGACCTTGACTGTGGGTTTGCAGCAATCTGATTGGCTGATTTGTGAATACATTAGAATTACATCCAGCCTCGCAGGTGCTCGACGCTGCGTATTCATTGATTAATTAGCCAAACTGCGGAAGTTGAATTACCCAATTGAGGTTTAACGATAACATTTCATACTGATTGCTGTCAATTTTCGCTTCATAAGTCGCCCATTAGGATTTGGGATAAATGTGCCAAATGATGTTTTGGCACTTTTGAGTTATAGATTAATATACTTTTCATGAATATTTCATACGAATACTTCAACTAGAGCTAGCCTAAACCTTTTTCTTTTTTTTAAATATAAGTTGGTTTTAAGTTATTTTTCGCCGGCACATCCCTGTTCGGCAGAATGATTTGTCCTTATATTAACACATTTTCAATGTACAGGACTCTTAAGGAAGAGAATTTATGGATGTCAACTTCTTTATTTTTATAAGGAACACAACGTTTCGGAGAATATGCTTACTCATTCATCAAGCGAATAAATGCTCTGTGGCAGAGAGCATATTATATATGTACATGTGAGAACAACAAAAGTACAAAAGATAACAAAAAGTGGAAACTTAACATGGGAAGCCAACAGATAATTGGCGCTGATAGGTGATTAGCAATAGACAATGGAAGCCATCACTTTATCAGCGCTAATTACTGTATAGTGTTGGATTCCATGTGTCAACCAAGTCTGCGAGTCTGACCACCCGATCCCGTTAATCGACTCTTACGACAAGCAAAGTCTTCTTTTTCGGCAGGCATGGGTTGCTGAGGACCTATTCTAAGCCGGATTTTCACGGGTCACATATATGGCTAATTACAACATATTCTCACATAACCATTTTTCTACTACTGTCATTGGGGTACCGTCATTGGATACACATGCGACTGCTTCTTAAAGAGTACTCCTCCAGAATCGCACGCACGAGCTCAATCTTGACGCTCATGCAACAAAAACTATTTTAACATCTTTGGTTTTTGACAATCAGTAATAACTATATGCGAAAATCATCATCTTTTTAGATTCTTTGTCTTGCCCTCAAGCACTTACAAATGCTTCCTGAAGTCATCCATCAGTGTTACTGGCTTAAGAACTACATACATATCTATCTACTGGCCAATGCGTCATCGTGTTTTGTTGTTGCCTATGAAGCCATGGGTTTGGCAAAGATACATGTAAATGCAACAATGTTATTTTTGTCACGCTGGCAATTACGGTTTTTAGTCAAAAGTCTGAAGCATAAAAAAAAATTTCAAGAATTTTCAGGGACAATTTATTTTTTTCGATAAAAAATGCCTGTCCCTAAAGTGTCTCGTTATCCGCGGAAACAGATTCCAGTTGGCGTGTAAGGCAAAATAGCGATAAAAACCATATGAAAGGTTCACTGAGAATCAGGGGCGGCCGGGTAGCCTAGTGGTTAAAGCGTCCGCTCGTCACGCCGAAGACCCGGGTTCGATTCCCGACATGGGTAAAATGTGTGAAGCCCATTTCTGTTGTCCCAGCTTCGCAGTGATATTGCTGGAATATTGCTAAAAGCGGCGTAAAACCATATTCACTCACTCACTGGAAATCAACGATGACCCCCGGTGTTCGTGAAACTGAATTAACCTAAAAAATCGGTCATATCTACCGATAAACAAAGATCTGAGGACATCCCATTAAGGGTCACGTCAGAACGGGTGCAGGCTAAAACGGCTACTCAGCAAAACGTCAGAACGACCTTTCATCCAACCAATCAGACCGTCGCTTACCATATCCTGAAAGTGACAGTCGGAATGAGTTTTCTAATCATGCAACCTCGAAATATTTAACAGAGGGTATTCCGAACGACAGTTACAGGTTTTATGATTATATCCATACAATATAGGCCATCTATAAGCCATTCCAGAATGTTGTTTTGGTCAGTTTTAACTTTTGTAATCGAGAATACGTCAAAATATGTTTCGAAGCGTAGTCGCCAGTTTGAAACTAGTGCCGTAAAGCTCGAGAGAGCTGCCTTCTGATTGGCTAATGTCAATTTCTTGTCAGTCATTTCATTGGTCGGTCAATGTTCGCGAAAGGTCGTTTTGACGTGACCCGTAATGGGATGTCCTCAGATCTTTGGTTAGTGGCAGCGAAAACTAAGATCTGATTTTAATGAGATTGTAGTTTCATACATTGGGTGACTAGATATACACATCATCATTAATTACGCACCACCCACTTTTTAGAATATTGTTGCATTAAAAAATGACTGGTGTGAGTCATTGTTGGAAACACGACGAAACAGATGTAAACCGATTAACTGAACCTTACACAACGATCACAAATCGATTTATTGGCGTTAAAAACGTTCATTTTAACAACGCTGAGACATATTAACATCCAGACCACACCACGAATTGGACTGTTACCTTATGTAGTGAAAAACGATTATTGCCAACCTGGGAATCCACACAGACTCTGGAATCAGTATCTGAGCATCCACCCAGAGACCATGCAGACATCAATCTCATTAAAATCAGATCTTAGTTCTCGCTACCGCTAAACAAAGCGGCAGCGAGAACTAAGATCTGATTTTAATGAGATTGTGCAGTTATCGGTATATGGCCTCTGGTCCACCCCGATCAGGGATGGCATTCGCGAGGCGTCTCTAAATGCTGCTGATTTTCAATACTGCAATGCCATTCCTGGTGCAGTGCCTTGGTCAGTTCATTCTGGGCACCGTTCCACAAAGCGATCTTAGCGCTACGACGATCGTAAGCCAGTGTTAAAGTATGGGAGTTACGATCACCTTAGCGCTAAGATGTCTTTGTGGAACGGGGCCCAGGTTTTGAACTGGCTGGTCTCTAGCTCTCGCTTGGCGACCATCCAAAAGAGTGAGTGAGTGAGTATGGTTTTACGCCGCTTTTAGCAATATTCCAGCAATATCACGGCGGGGGACACCAGAAATGGGCTTCACACATTGTACCCATGTCGGGAAACGAACCCGGGTCTTGGGCGTGACGAGCGAACGCTTTAACCACAAGGCTACCCGACCGCCCCTCCATCCAAAAGATGTTCAGTTGGTGTTGATATTGATTGTTGTTTAACACCGCACTCAGCAATATTCCAGCTATAGGAAGCCGGTCTGTAAATAATCGAGTCTGGACCAGACAATCCAGTGATTGACACCATGAACATCGATCTACGCAATTTGGATACGATGACATGCGTCAACCAAGTCTGCGAGCCCGACCACCTGATCCCGTTAGTCGCCTCTTCTGACATGCATAGTCGCCTTTTACGGCATGCAGGGTTGCTGAAGACCTATTCTACCCCGGATCTTCACGGGTTGTGCTCAATTGGATTCAGATGGGGTTTGTCATTACTTTAATTGGATTTTGAATCTGGTGCTTAATTATTATTCATGTGTACATGTTTACTTTTAACCGTGTTTTATACTGCATTTGTGATATTTACCTAAACGTTTTACTGTGAATGTTTTCAATGAATGTAAACTGTTCCCTCGTCTCAAAATGGCTGACATATTACCGATGCTACATTGCATTGTGACACACTCACTTGGTAAGTCGTCCTGTTGAGTCGCCGGAGCATTTTGCCAAGAACTGATAAATGTAAACTAATTTTCAAAAGTTGGTCGTGACCGTGTGGACTTGTTGTACATTTAGCTTTCATTTTTTAACTTTCATTATCTTTTGTGAAGTCTACTGCTGACATATCAACGTTGAACTCAATTCTAGGGAACAGGTCAAACCTATATATTTACCATATAAGCATAAGACACTATAGCTATATACTTAACAAGTACTCTTATGGAGTATTTTGCCCGTGATAATTTAAATTTTTTATTCATTTGTTTTTATTTACCATGGTTACAAGATAAAATACTAATGACGGAAGGTTCGAGATTGATTCTTAAGCACACCTAAAATATGTTCATGTTATCTTGAGGTGGAGGTTGGCGAAATTCTCTATGCAGGAGTTACGTCCCTTAACTGCCAGGATCTGCTGATCAAGCGTCCCAATTCCCAATACCTAACTCAGACTTTCCTCACACATTAATTAAGCTGCTATGTTATAAACGAAATACTGTTCGATATAGAGCTAAAATATACTCAAACAATCTGCCCGAACTTTGTTCTTGCAATGAATTAATTATCTGGGCCGGTATTCACATAGATTCTGAGATTTTCTAAGGCAGTGACAGTCACTTATGTTTTCTTTAAAATGCTTAGCTCAGAAAAAATCTTAAGTATCACTTCACAAAGAGTCAAAGCGTTATTCTTGGCAAAGTATTGGTATAATAGCTAAGATTTCTCTAAGTCTAACCAACTGAGAATAACTTAGAGTTTTCTTCCTGTCTATATATAAATGTATCATGTAGATGTTCCTTATAGTAACCGTCCGGGAAATGGGTCTCAGTAATAACAGGGTATCCGTAGTAACATGTTCTCCGTGGTAACATGGTCTCCGTAGTAACATGATCTCCTCGGTGACGTATCCGTAGTGAAATGGTATCTGTAGTAACATGGTCTCCTTAGTAACAGGGTACCCGTTGTAACATGGCATATCCCTGGTAACAGGGTCTCCATAGTAACATGGTAGACGTGGTTTACAGGGTATCTGTAGTAAATGGTCTCCGTGGTAACATGGTCTCCGTAGTTACCGTGTCTCTGTACTAATGAAAGAACATGTTTCCATATAGTGTATTAAGGGTGAGAGAATGTGTTTGGTTTCTTGCTATATATTTACATCACAACTTGCTTCAGATAAACATATTGTCCATTAAATGTTCTTTCAAATGCATCCCGGTCATATTAATCAAAATTGTTATTAATTTTGTCACAATTCAGCAACTCGTGATTGACAGTATAAGGCTTTAAATTAACATATATATTGCAAGAAAATACGTTGGTAGAAACCTTCAGTTAATGTTAACACATAATTTTGTCCTTGTGATATGTTTTTGGCGAGAAATGCTGTGGAGGAAAAATCAAATGCAACGTTTGATCTTAGGGACTTGCGATATGATTATGGCGTACTGGCTGAATAGTTCTTAAAGATGGAAAACCACCAGAATAAAAACGCAAGAGCATTGGCACACCCTACTCTGCATGGTCTAGTCATATCCATGTGAGCTTAGTCACCGCCGTCTATAGTTCAGACTAATATATTTTGTCAGGCATCTGATCCAGACAATAGATGATGGTTTTTTATTTCCTTTATAAAAAAACAAACATTTCTGTACCTTCAACGAACCTACCCGTGTAACCAAACGGTGATATGGCTCGCGTTCACTTGTGTACTTGCGTTCTTATCACATTATAAACATTGTATGAGCAGTTTGTGACTCAATTCACCAGAAAGATAATGCGTAATGCATTTCTTAAATGTTGCTGGATAGGTGTTTTGGTTATTGTCTGAATATTAGAACAATGATTATGTATCTAGTATATCGTACTCCAAACACAAGTGATAGACTTACACTTAGTCAATGAAAACATTTCTTTAAAATATTTGTTATCTATTTTTTTAAAGAACCCTCCTCTGCTGTTTTCAAGTGGAATCAAGGAAACTATAGACTTGGAATAGTTTCATCTAGACATGCCTAGGCTTTTATAAGTAGCTAGGTAGTTTCTTTGGCCTATGCTCACACTATCGACCACTGGTTTATTCAGGCTCTGTTACACTCCAAGTCTTATACCCCGTTCACATGCACCTCTATACATATGTCTGTATATGTGCATACGTGTGTAGAAATACATACGTGAGTATACTTGTCATGTGAACGCGTTTACTCATGTGTGTATCTTTACACCAGGAGCAAATTTGTATAATGCATGTAGCAGGTGCAAATGTAAATGTAAATTTGCACTGTGTGTATATGTTGCAATGTGAACGTTTATGTCAACGAAAGAGGATGATCTAATCAATATCTGTTCTTTTGCCAACACCAAACAAATTGTCAATAGTTGCCAACTTTTATGCATATATACAGAGTTGAACAGTATTTTCTTTTGGTTTCAAGGATGCAATTTCGGTGAAGTAACTCTCTTCTCATTCAACTTTGATTGGAAAACAACCTGTTTTATGTTGAAAGTCGTGAACAGACTGACGAATATGTGTGCCTTACACAATTAACATACTTTATTTACATACCTAAGATGTTTTTTCATGTGAACGCATAGTAAATTTACATATGTATACACACGTATGTATAGTTACAAATGTTTTAATGTACTTACGTTAATAAATATGTGTATGTGAACGGGGTATTAGACACAGACCCGGCCGTTATCACTGGTCATATAGTAACAAAGCGGCTATAGGGCAGTATTTACCACAATCTCATTAAAATCAAATCGTAGTTCTCGCTATCGCTAAACAAAGCCTTGATTAGCGACAGCGAGAACTTAGATCTGATTTTAATGAGATTGTATTTACCACATCACACACTTCGCCCTGAAATCGTCAAAACCAATGACTGAACTAAGTTTTTTCGTGTGTTTCTTTTCCATTTAAAAAATCGGTGGACCAGTCGTCCAATACACCGAAATACGGTGTGCAGAGTTGCATGCCTTTGGCGTGACAAAAACCTATATGATCGTGGGTTCGAACCCTAGGGTACGGTCGCCCTGATTATGTCCATGCTTGTCAGCGCCATACCGATACTAATGGGTTTCACCAAAGTGGTAAGTTTGCACCACTTCGAGCTGAAACGCCGCGATATAACAGAAATACTGTTTAAAGCAGCGTTAAAACAACTCCCTCACTTATATCACCGATCGGAATATGTCCTGTCCGTATTTTATTTGACGTGTAAGGGACGCAACTCGTTGACTTCCGGTTTGTTTGTTGACATCAAGCCCATCAAAGCCAGTACAATTTGTTGCATGCCTTTACGAACAGTGGTGTGTACTCCTGAAGCGCAATATGGTGCACAAAACGTGTGGATACGGCGACTGCAGAAGCGATAGTCGAAAAGAAAATTTAGACAATGTGACATTTATTTCATTTCCACGAGACACTGGCAAAAATCACGAGAAATGTCTCCGATGGATAACACTATCTGGACGCATTGACCTGACACCCGAACGCGTCAACAGATACACCTATGTCTGCTCTAAGCATTTTGTCGGGGGCAATGGTCCAACTGACGAATATCCAGACCCAGTTCAGTTTCCAGGCAAAATATCAAGAATACCCAGAGGTATTCATGGAAATATGCGCGTAGCACCGCACCATGCGATTCAAAAGGCGGCCAAGAAAGCAAAGACATTCACAGTAACATCTGCAGCTCAGCTCAACAATCTACAAAATGCTAATTACTTCAGTCTAGTCAAGCAAGAGCCAGGCTACTCAGACTTCACCTCGGGGCAGCAGGGCAGTGATACAACTAGAAACCAAACTAAGTCAATCAAGTTAGTAGTACGTCAGTCCTGATTTCTAATGGGTACAATGAAGCCATAAATTATTCATTTGATGCCCTGATTAATCCCATTTTGTTTTGGGCGTTGCAAGTTTATCATCCTCTCATTAAAAATCTGGGGAGTAGTGCACTTTACCGGGCGCACTTTTTCAGATCCAATTAGCGCTGTGGGGACTCGAACGGGCTTCGCCGGCTCATCGGCTCTGCTAATTAATGCGTTAATTAGCCGACGCTCTACCACTGGACCCCAGGCGCTATCACATGTAATCAGTGCTCTTTTAGTGGGTCATTAGAATCCCCATTTACATGCATGCGTAATTATGTGACGTCACAGTCTGCTGTCCCATTCATTTTTTCTTGAAACTACACCCACCAATGGGATTAACCGGATTAACACTTGAAAAGGTAAGAATTTATGGCTAACGCTTGCCCAGCAAGCTAACCCTAAGACCAAAAACGGGTGTTGCATCGTAAAGACGTGTTAGTTTCCCTAAGACTGAGAACGGGTGTTGGATCGTAAAGATGTGTAAGTTTCCCTAAGACCGAAAACATGCGTTGGATCGTGAAGCGAGAGTCACCAGAGCGTGAGGCACGGTATCGGTATAACGAGACAGTGGCACTATAGCGCGGTAATTGAGCGGATGGTAGAGCTGTGTTTTTGTCTGTGTTTTTATCTATAATTTAATCAATCTGTTTCAAATTAATCCATGTCAGTGAGTGTCTGCCCAGACTGCAGATGGTCAGTTGCTTGATCCCCAGTCTCATCACACCAAAAGACGCTGAAAATAAAAGATGGTACTTGGTGTTACCCTTCCTGGCGCTTGGCCTTTGGGGGGATAAAACAAGGACTGGTTGGCTCAGTTTACTGTGTCTGAGTGGGGTATCCATGTGAAAATTTTAGCATAGCACTCATGTAGGCTAGCACTCAAAAACCAGCAGGAGTCCAGACTTGTATACAAAGCCTCACACACACAGACACTGCTATATAACGACAATATCTTAACACGACATGAGACTCCATTTCACCTAACTTCATTACCTTCTGTGAGGGGGTTAAACAGTTAAGACAAATACTCATTTCTCTTACAGCCCTGTGGATGTCCTCGAGTTATGATTTATTACACATGCAACAGCATAGACTGGATATGTTAGATGAGCAAATCAAATAGCACACTTTCAGATTAGTGATCCCCCAACTTCAAACTATTAAATCTCCATGAAACACTAACTTTGGCTTGTTCGTCTGGTTTGAGTAATGAAATAATTCTAGAGTTTAAAATAATTGACTGTTCGAGACAGTCTGTTTTGTTGATGGACGGTCAGTTTTGAAAAGTTGAACATCCGATGGTCAGGAGTTAAAGTTACAAAGTTAACAGTCCACGAGTTTACTGTTATTTTCAGAGAACGACATTAAACAGTACTTTTAAAAAAATCTTATGTTTACCCTTTTGTTATTTTTGTTTGTTAGTCTAGAAAATTCTGGACTGGCAACATTTCATCTTGTCTGGTAATTTTGCAATGTTGCTAGTCTGGTTGTCTGACTGAAATTTGAGGGAATTTTGCACACTGAATAATTCACTTTATAACTTTTTAATATTCAGGTTTTTAGTGAAAGACTGGGGGAGTTGTGTGGAGTCTGACTGTGGACTAACATCTGGGTATGTTGACGACGATCACCCGAAGGACATCATGATGCAGATGTTCGACATGTGGAAGGAACAGAAGATGTGTGATGCAGCGTTCATTGTCCAGGGGACGAAGGTTCCAGTGAGTCATTACATCTTATTTGAGTTTATTTATTATAAACCGCCTCCGTGGTCTAGTGGTAGAGCGGTCCGCCCGGATAGTGGAAGATCCGGGGTTCGATCCCCAGGCCATGTCATACCAAGAGACGTTAAAAGATGGTACTTGTTGTTATCCTGTCTGGCGCTCGGCATTAAGGGGCTAAAACAAGGACTGGTCGGCTCAGAGTCACTATACTGTGTCTGAGTGGGATATTCATGTTAAACTGCAACATGGTATCTCAGTGAGCTAGCACTATAAATCGGCATCAGTCCGGACTAGTACAAGCAGCCACACAAACACACACACGTACATGCACGTCGCTATATAAGTGCAATAATCTTGGACGCGACATTAAACCCCATTTCACCTCACCTCACCTTATTTATTATAAACTATTAAAAGATGTGGGTTTTTTCATATTTGTACCTGCCAGAGCTGCAAACTTAATACAACCTCAGTTTGAAAGTTTTTTGTTGGTGACAGAACTATTTCTAGACAAGTTTAAACAGTTTATTAGTGGTTGAGTTGGTCAGTGGTTATGGGTGAGCTCATCAAGCTGAAAATCGGGCTGCAATTCCCCACATGGCTGTATTAAGCTCGTTTTGGGTGTCCCATTCTGTGACTTTGCTGAGATTTTATTCAATGTGGCGTATGAAAATAGAGTGGCAAGTGAAGCGAAACTGAATACTAGATAAAAAGGCCTTATTCTTATCATGGTTATAAATAGAAATCTTGTAATACCTGAAAAATCATGTTTGACTAAAGTTGGAAGAACATGATACATGACACTTTTTATGGATAACAACTTTTTTTTCTTTGTAACAACATTCCAGAGCTACTTCTTGCTCCTTCATCAGGTGAACATGGCAAAGGGCAAGAATTAGCTCTGAAATGTTGTTACAAAGTGAGTGAGTGAGTATGGTTTTACGCTGCTTTTAGCAAAATTCCAGCAATATCACGATAAGTGACACCGGAAATGGGCTTCACACATTGTACCCATGTCAGGAAAAACCCAACGGGGTGATGAATAAACGAGTGAAATAATAATAGCTACCCAATGAAAAATGTAATGACCCAATTAAAATAGAAACCTTCGAGTAAAAACTCAATTGCTCAAAAAGTTATCTGGAGCTCTGATTCTCGGTGCCGATTGAATGCCTCTGAGCTGGTGTAGGTAAGTCCCTGACCATGCTGACCTGCAGCCTTGTGACAAGTACTGGTAGTCATGGTGATAGGTTGGCATGTATAAATGGGATCAAATTGCCTATTTTTTAGATCTATTTAATATAACAAAACAAATCCTAATATGTGATACTTTTGTTTCCTGCTCTTTTTGAAAAACATCAATCTCATTAAAATCAGATCATAGTTTTCACTACCGCTAAACAAAGATCTGAGGACATCCCATTACGGGTCACGTCAGAACGGCCTTTCGCGAATTTTGACCGACCAATGAAATGACTGACAAGAAATTGACATTAGCCAATCAGAAGGCAGCTTTCTCGAGCTTTACGACACTAGTTTCACACTGGCGACTACGCTTTGAAACATATTTTGATGTATTCTCGCTTAAAAAAACAAAAACTGAAAATGGCTGGAATGGCTTCTAGATGGCCTAGATTGCATGGATATAATCATAAAACCCGTAACTGTCGTTCGGAATACCCTGTGTTAAATATTTCATGGTTGCATGTTTAGAAAACACATTCCGACTGTCACTTTCATGACCTGGTAAGCGACGCTCTGATTGGTTGGATGAAAGGTCATTCTGACGTGACCCTTAATGGGATGTCCTCAGATCTTTGTTTAGCATAGCGAGAAGTAAGATCTGATTTTAATGAGATTGGAAAAACATCTTCATCATGTTCATTTTGAAAATATAGTTCATATGTTTTACAGTTTCACCGCTTGATGATGTCAGCATGTAGTTCCCACATGAAGACAGTGCTGGACAGGGAGGACCTGACATCCAGTGTGGACATCCAGATGCCAGACTCAGTCTCCATAGAGGGGATGTACTGCTTCCTGCACTACATCTACACCGGCTCCCTCAGCCTCACCATAAACACCGCACAGGCGGTCCTCAAGATAGCCACCATCCTCCGGGTCACCAAAGTGCAGCATCACTGTAAACAGTACATAGAGAACATCGCGGGCAAGCTGGGCCTCAACCCGACTCCCACCCAGCCTGTCAGGTTTACTGTGTCTCGGGAAGAAGAAGCTGTTGTAGGACGATCAGAGGATAGAAGGACCGTTGTTATCCCTGATCCCAGTGCTTCGGAACCTGCTGGGGACCTTCCGAGGAATTTTTGTTCTGAATCTGGAACAGTCTCCTTGGAGACCCATTGTGATAGGGTTGCTGATGCGGGTAATGGAAGAAGTGTGTCAGATCATGTCAATGTAATGGACACTGCAGGAGCTGACTTCTCGTCTTCTGATACCAGTTTGCTTACCTGTATGAAGAACAGGGCTTCACTGCCTGCTAATATGATCTCACAGAGACACTGCATGGCCTCCAACTTTACAGTGTCTAGTGGGCGTCAGTTCTGTCACCTGGAGCAACCAGGTCAAAACAGTCCGTCCTCAGCCGAGGTCTGTCAGTCGGATTGTTACCATGGTAACACAGGTCCGAGCTCCATCTGCTCAGGGCAGTGGTCAAGCAAGATGACCGACTCGGGGGTTCAAGGGATCCCATGTGTTGAGGAAGGGGAAGAAACAGACATGGTTGGTTCTGATACGGAGACATTTATTAAGCAAGAACCAGGTCATGACAGTGATTTGGAACCCTGTGTTTTCTTTGAGGAGCAACCCTAATGATTTCAGGACACACACAGTTGGAAGTTCATGAACAATTTCTGTCTTTTTGTTTTTTTACCTTTTAGTACATACACATCTCACAACATTGATATACACAATAATTATTGTCAACTAATTTGTTGTCAAGGTGTTCTTGTCATTATATCACATGCTGATGGTAACATAACCCAGTTTCGTTTCCAGCCCTGTTAGAAGTGGATTTTGCATATATATACTTCTCAAAAGAGGTTACAGAACACCCGATTTTCTCACTTGATATGGCCTGGCATGACACATTAACTATAGTCATATGAAAAAAACTGAGTGTTCTGTAACTTCTTGTGAGTAATATATTGTAAATGTTTCTTGAAATCATGTACACAGACAATGTACAAATGGTGACATGGAAATGCTTTTTAAAATCTTTCAACATTTCCTGGTGTTGTGATTTTCTTCTGCTGCAACATACATGTACCATACTATAGACACATTTAGCAACCACACTGGACACATATAGCAACCACACTGTACACCTATAGCAACCACACTGGACACATATAGCAACCACACTGGACGCGTATAGCAACCACACTGGACACTAAAACATGAAAATGTGTTGACACTTTCGTTTCTAAGCCATATTAGAACTTGCTGTTTTTGATAAAAGTGTGTTTCCGTTTTCGGAGTTTCCCTTATTGTGGTTATTGTAGTGCTTACTCTGTTCCAAATTACTTCATTACAGTATCAATGGCACAGTTATTACCAATCATAATGACATGGTTAAAAGAGTTCTTTGTACCTGGTGGGCAGACTTTTGTTTTAAAATAAATAATGAACCTTCACACAAGTAGACTGGACAAACAGATGTTTGTTTTTTAGGCTGGAATATTTTACGAGTGACCAATGGCACACTTGAAAACCAACACATTTCACTGTAATACCGTGGTGCAGAGGATAGAGTGTCTGCCCATAGAAGTGGAAGGTCGGGTGTTTTATCCCCGGCCGGGTCATACCAAAAGACGTTAAAAGATGGTACTTGTTGTTACCCTGCGTCGCGCTCGGCATTAAGGGGCTAAAACAAGGCCTGGTCGGCTCGGAGTCAGTATACTGTGTCTGAGTGGGGTATTCATGTTAAACTGCGGCATGGTATCTCAGTGAGCTAGCACTATACATCGACAACAGTCAGAACTAGTACAAGCAGCCACACACGCACACGCACACACACACACACACACACACACACGTGCATGCACGTCGCTATATGAGTGCAATTATCTTTTATCTGAAGTCCGAATAACAGACCCCCGAATTCCGAGTTCCAAAAGGGTATTGGAAGCCTAAAAAATGGGTTGACTTCTATAGCGATCCGTGTAACACATTGAACCTGGGCCTTTATCCACTTGGCTACACTATCGTCCCGGGACCACACCGTGAGAGCGCATTACGCCAACCTAGTCGTTCTACTAACCTATTATAATTTTGAATTCAGGCAACGGTAAGGCTGTCTCTATTCTTTCCTAAGTTTCCAATCTCCCGCCTGCTCTGAATTTTCATTCCGACGTGAAATACAAAATTATCTTAAATTTCTCCGCCGATGTGGACAATTTTGCCCTGATACTATAAACAAACACTATACTACCATTGTACACTCATAAAAACACCAGGTCAGCTTAATCTTTCTTCAGCTATTTTTATTAAACATTCGTTTCCGAAGCAAAGCAACTCGATCAACGTCATAAAGTTTATGAAACAATGGTCCTAAGTGTTTTTACGAAAGCCCATTAGGACCATATTGGTATTTTGTTTTTTTCTCTTTTAAAAGCCGTAATTACGAGAGAAAAAGTCGTAATAACGACTTTTCAAAACTCGTAATTACGAGAATGAAGTCGTCATTATGAAAAGAAAAGTCGTAATTACGAATTTTTTTTCTCGTAATTACGACTTTATTCCCGTTATTACGACTTTTAAAAGAGAAAAAAATATTACTAATATGGTCGTAATGGGCTTTCGTATGTTTTAAACTTTACAATGTCAAGTAATTACACAATTCGTGAAAAACAGGGGTTTTTTTTGTTTAAAAAATAGTTTTTAATTCCATTTCGCCCGCTCGATCTCTTGCTGGTTGAGGTCGGAGATAAGGAACACATAAAACGATATGGACATACAGATACAAGACAGGCTGACATTTCACGTGTGGAACAATCTACTAAAGTTAACAATACGATAACCTTCGTTCAATTTCACATTTGTTTTATTTGTCTTTTATCTTCGAGCCAGCACCATCAACATTCTGGATTAAACACATGGCGTCCATTATTCAGCCTGATTAAATATTTGGGTGTTCATTAATTTACATGAACATTCAACATCAGAAAATGAACCTAGTGAGAAATCAGCTATTTTCGTCACAAAGTAATCTTTCCGGGGCAAGGGAGTTAACTGACTTAAAACTGGACTTTTATGGTCAGTTAACTCCCTTGCCTCAAGAAGATGTCACATATTACATTCCCACAACAATTGTAACCTAACATGTATCACCATATGTTACCAAAATAAACTGCCGGGCAAGAGAATGATTACATTCATACACTTGAAAACATGGATTTGACCAAAAACTACAATCGTTATCCTTACGTTACTTGAGTGGAACAGTCACCAAATACTCAAAACTTATATGTAATAAAAGTCAACTTCTAAAAATGACATAGCGTACGACTCTGTAGACACTGAGGCACATACTAAACAACATGTGAAAGCTACGCCGTGACCATGAAAACCAAGGACAGGGTTTCTGTGCATTTTATTATATTATATGGTCTCTGATGGGGAGTATGCAACCCCATCCGTTTGTGCTGTCTGAGAAGGTTTTGCATTCACCTTATACTCTCTGATCCTACCAGGTTCCCACTGACCCGCTGGGTGAACAGGTATACATGTTTTCATGTTTGTGTAATGGACCTTTACCTTGATTTTTAAAAATTATTTCGTTTACTTGAAATAGGGACGGGTGTGGTTATCCTTGAGATACACTGGCATTGGGGTGTTTTTCTTATTAATTTAATTTGAAAAATGTAAGTGGGAAAACAAACCTAAGGAATATATTGATGGACAGATATGAAATAGATAGATCATATACCATAACACTACATATCCTCGTTTGATAAAAGGCTTTATTTATAAGAGAAAACGATATGGTTTGGCACGGTTAAAGTAGTCCGGATGTATGTGATATCTTTGGCCAATTGTAACAAGCTTTTCCATTGGGAAAGTGCTGTTAAGTCAGCCAATCGCTATTTCAATAGCAAATACGACGATGGATTCCATTTTGTTTACATCATGGCCGTCGTGATTTGTTTTATCGGCTCGATTGGTGACTTTGTTTTGTGTTTGAGTTGTAAGTGTAATATCGGATGCAATTACAAATATTTAGTTCTACTTCCTTGTTGAGAAGATGTATTATAACCTAGTTGTTGAGTTGTCAGGGCTAAAATTAACCTAAATCGACTCGAAAATAGGCCTAGAGCTCAGGTCGACTCTATTTTCGGAATTTGTCATCACAGCTCACAAGGACGATGTGTCATTTCCCTCACTAAAGCGTGTACTGTAGTAATCACACCGCTACCCAAGCAGAACCATATTGTTAAAAAAAAATATGCTGATCGCTGTCGCTTGCATTCTACCTGTCGTAATTAAAAACAATAAGATTCTTGCCACAAACACAGGGACTGTCATGCAGCTAGCCTGTGAATCTCAGTCAAATACAGATGCACGATATTATTTGCCATATTTCCTCTATTAGACCCATCCTCCAGTTAATGCCGACCCTTAGTAGACAGTGGTCATATGCTCTGTCCACAAAATAGACACCTGTTCTCTAATACTGTGATATGCTGCCTTATTGCTGGTGATTAGTTATGGTTGCTCTCTGAAGGTGTACCCCTTGTATGACTGTAGGGCGAAACCGCATTATCAGTGTTTCGAGAAGGGAGCTATTTCCGCTTGCCAAATCGAAAGTTTGAGGTGGGCCCACAGAGCTCCAGATAACTTTTTGAGCAATTGAGTTTTTACTCAAAGGTTTCTATTTTAATTGGGTTGTTACATTTTTCATTGTGTAACCAATATCTTTTCAACTCATCTATTCTTCACTCTAATGGATTTTTCCAAAATGTGTTAACATTCTGAGATTAAAAAAATATATGCAATGATATTTTAGTTGTAATATACTTGTTCTAAATGTAGGCTTGACTCGGAAAGTAAATGAGCTCGTAATTGTGTTTTGGAAATTATTTCCGTTGCACGCATGCTGGGTGCTTCATTGGGTATTTTCGTATGCTGTTTTCAAGCAATTGAGTTCTCCATTTAATGAATGCATTTCTGTACTCAAGTTAATTGAAAGTATTTGGGTTTTGAATTGTTTTGGCGGGCAGGCGGCAGGAGTTATTTCGGACACTGAATAGATGCTGTGTCAGCAGCTTGCATGAAATTAATGGATGCCCTGGAATCTAATGGAGGCAATTTCAATTTGTTAGAATGAAAAGTCAATAGACACATCATTAAAAAAAAAATTACTGTAAAAATGGGTGGGTATCATATGTATAGAATTAGTCATGTTATGAATTTTGAATGACTTTTTTCTGACTGTTTCAGGTAAACAACGTCATTAGACGATTTAACAGGTCACAAAATGGACAAGTATGAAACTATCAAGCGTCTTGGCTCGGGGGCATGTGGTGCTGTGTACCTGGTCAGACATAAGGACACAAAGAGGTAAGTCAGTAGAGAATTATTTACATGTTTACTGATAAAATATATGTGTCTAGCAGATGTGCAGTGATGAACTGATTATTTTCTCACAAGAGAATAATTTTATTCAAACCTTTTTTTAGATGAAGATGTTAATGAGTAAAGTAATGACTTTATGGGCTATCCACATGGTATACCTAGTGAAGCATTTGAACTAGCCAATAATATTTGATTTATCTACAAATGTAATTGTGAAGGCTGATGTTCAGCAGGTACCCGGGTCAGGTAATTGGAGGTCGGGTACCCAGGTCAGGTAATAGGGACCTGGTACCCGGGTCAGGTAATAGGGGCTTGGTGCCTGTGTCAGGTAATGGGGGCCTGGTACCTGGGTCAGGTAATGGTCAGGTAAAAGGGACCTGGTACCCAGGTCAGGTAATAGGGGCCTGGTACCCGTGTCAGGTAATATGGGCCTAGTACCCGGGTCAGGTAATATGGGCCTGGTACCCGGGTCAGGTAATATGGGCCTGGTACCCGGGTCAGGTAATAGGGGCCTGGTACCCAGGTCAGTTAATAGAGGCCTGGTACCCAGGTCAGGTAATAGGGGCCTGGTACCCAGGTCAGGTAATAGGGGACCGTGTACCCGGGTCAGGTAATAGGGGGCCGGGTACCCTGGTCTGGTAGTAGGCGGTCGGGTCAGGTAATAGGTGGTCAGGTACCCGGTTTATTATCCCCCGCCACGAAGTGGAAGGGGGATATAGGAATGGGTGCTGTCCGTCCTTCTGTCACATTTCATTTCCGGAGCAGATCTTGAAAACCATACCATATTTCTTCACCAAACTTGGCACATAGATAGATCTAGTGGTGAACTAGTGCCTTTTGATAGTTTGGGATTTAAAAAAAAAATATTTTTCGAGTTTCCATGGCAACGACTTTGATTTAGACTGAAAATGGCGGTAGTCCTCGTTTCAGGAGCAGATCTTGAAAACCGTACCATATTTCTTCACCAAACTTAACACATAGATAGATCTAGTGGTGAACCGGTGCCTTTTGATAGCTTGGGATTTAAACAAAAAATTATTTTTTGAGTTTCAATGGCAACGACTTTGATTTAGACTGAAAATGGCGGTAGTCCTCGTTTCCGGAGCAGATCTTGGAAACCGTACCATATTTCTTCACCAAACTTAACACATAGATAGATCTAGTGGTGAACTGATGCCTTTTGATAGTTTGGGATTTAAAAAAACATTATTTTTCGAGTTTCCATGGCAACGACTTTGATTTAGACTGAAAATGGCGGTAGTCCTCGTTTCCGGAGCAGATCTTGAAAACCGTACCATATTTCTTCACCAAACTTAACACATAGATAGATCTAGTGGTGAACTGGTGCCTTTTGATAGTTTGGGATTTAAAAAAACATTATTTTTCGAGTTTCCATGGCAACGACTTTGATTAAGACTGAAAATGGCGGTAGTCCTCGTTTCCGGAGCAGATCTTGAAAACCGTACCATATTTCTTCACCAAACTTAACACATAGATAGATCAAGTGGTGGACTGGTGCCTTTTGATAGTTTGGGTTTTTTAATTTTTTTTTATTTTTCGAGGAATATAGGAATGGGTGCTGTCCGTCCTTGTTTCCGGAGCAGATCTTGAAAACCGTACCATATTTCTTCACCAAACTTGGCACATGGATAGATCAAGTGGTGAACTGGTCCCTTTTGATAGTTTGGGATTTAAAAAAAAAATATTTTTTGAGTTTCCATGGCAACGACTTTGATTTAGACCGAAAATGGCGGTAGTCCTCGTTTCTGGAGCAGATCTTGGAAACCGTACCATATTTCTTCACCAAACTTAACACATAGATAGATCTAGTGGTGAACTGGTGCCTTTTGATAGTTTGGGATTTAAAAAAACATTATTTTTCGAGTTTCCATGGCAACGACTTTGATTAAGACTGAAAATGGCGGTAGTCCTCGTTTCCGGAGCTGATCTTGAAAACCGTACCATATTTCTTCACCAAACTGAGCACATAGATAGATCTAGTGGTGAACTGGTGCCTTTTGATAGTTTGGGATTTTAAAAAAACATTATTTTTCGAGGTTCCATGGCAACGACTTTGATTTAGACTGAAAATGGTGGTAGTCCTTGTTTCTGGAGCAGATCTTGAAAATCGTACCATATTTCTTCACCAAACTTGGCACATAGATAGATCAAGTGGTGGACTGGTGCCTTTTGATAGTTTGGGTTTTTAATTTTTTTTTATTTTTCGAGGAATATAGGAATGGGTGCTGTCCGTCCTTGTTTCCGGAGCAGATCTTGAAAACCACACCATATTTCTTCACCAAACTTGGCACATGGATAGATCTAGTGGTGAACTGGTGCCTTTTGATAGTTTGGGATTTAAAAAAAAAAAATTTTTCGAGTCTCCATTGCAACGACTTTGATTTAGACTGAAAATGGCGGTAGTCCTCGTTTCCGGAGCAGATCTTGAAAACCGTACCATATTTCTTCACCAAACTTAACACATAGATAGATCTAGTGGTGAACTGGTGCCTTTTGATAGTTTGGGATTTAAACAAAAAATTATATTTTGAGTTTCCATGGCAACGACTTTGATTAAGACTGAAAATGGCGGTAGTCCTCGTTTCCGGAGCAGATCTTGAAAACCGTACCATATTTCTTCACCAAACTTGGCACATAGATAGATCTAGTGGTGAACTGGTGCCTTTTGATAGTTTGGGATTTAAAAAAAACATTATTTTTCGAGTTTCCATGGCAACGACTTTGATTAAGACTGAAAATGGCGGTAGTCCTCGTTTCCGGAGCAGATCTTGAAAACCGTACCATATTTCTTCACCAAACTTAACACATAGATAGATCGAGTGGTCAAATGGTGCCTTTTGATAGTTTGGGATTTTAAAAAAATATATATTTTTCGAGGTTCCATGGCAACGACTTTGATTTAGACTGAAAATGGTGGTAGTCCTTGTTTCTGGAGCAGATCTTGAAAACCGTACCATATTTCTTCACCAAACTTGGCACATAGATAGATCAAGTGGTGGACTGGTGCCTTTTGATAGTTTGGGTTTTTAATTTTTTTTTTATTTTTCGAGGAATATAGGAATGGGTGCTGTCCGTCCTTGTTTCCGGAGCAGATCTTGAAAACCGTACCATATTTCTTCACCAAACTTGGCACATGGATAGATCTAGTGGTGAACTGGTCCCTTTTGATAGTTTGGGATTTAAAAAAAAATTATTTTTTGAGTTTCCATGGCAACGACTTTGATTTAGACTGAAAATGGCGGTAGTCCTTGTTTCCGGAGCAGATCTTGAAAACCGTACCATATTTCTTCACCAAACTGAGCACATAGATAGATCTAGTGGTGAACTGGTGCCTTTTGATAGTTTGGGATTTAAATTTTTTTTATTTTTCGAGTTTTCGAGTGTGATAGGCAAATGACATGTTGGTGAATAATTTGGAGGACTGTTTATGAGCGCAGGGCAGGCAGAGTTTCTAACATTGTAGTATTGACCCATGTTTAACCAACTATTCATGCACCTACATATGTAATACTTCACTTTCAGATTGTTTGCTTTAAAGAAGATAGATCTGGACGAAAGGAGAAAAACACGAACAAAAGAAGCAGTAATAAAGGAGGCCAGGTAACCATTTAGTTCTTTTGTCAGTAGAAACAAATATAATACTTCCAGCATTTTCAACTTCTAAAAAGATAGAATAGATTATTTTATGCAGTGAGTAAAATGGGGTGATAAAAACTGAATTTAAGAACTCTGCATGTTAAGATTTGATTTTGAAATAGCTGAATGTGATCATCCTATCATACATGTATCAGAAAGTATGATTGTTTTGTTTGTTTGTTTGTTTGCTTGTTTGTTTGTTGTTCAACGCAACTCTCAGCAGTATTCCAGCTAAATGATAGCGGTCTGTAAATAATCAAGTCTGCACCAGACAATCCAGTGATTGACATCATGAGCATTGATCTAGGTATTTGCAATACAATGACATGCATCAAAAGTCAGCCAGCCTGATCACATGATCCTGTTAGTCTTTGTTGCTGGAGACCTATTCTCCACCTAGATCTTCACGGGTCCGGAAAGTATTGTTTGTCTGGGACAATAATGCTTGTTACTGGCTTGTTTGTATCTCTTTAGACTCACATCAACAGTTGTTAAATTATCTTATAGCATATAATACAAAGGAGCTTGGAGACACTCATCTGCTGAAAGTGCAGTAATCTAGACCAACCTTATTGTACGTGAAGATCCGGGGTAGAATAGTTCTTCAGCAACCCATGCTTGCTGTAAAAGGCTACTATGCTTGTCGTAAGAGGCAACTAAGGGGATCGGGTGGTCAGGCTCGCTGACTTGGTTCATGCATGTCATCGATCCCAATTGCAGGGATCAATGCTCATGTTCTCAATCACTGGATTGTCTGGTCCAGACTCGATTACTTACAGACTGCTGTCATATAGCTGGAATATTGCTGAGTGTGGCATTGAACACTGAGTGTGGTGTTAAACAACAAACAAAACAAAAAGCCAACTACTAAAGACTTGCAATGGATAGACTGGATATATTTGTTTCAGGGTCTGTACATCTCCCCGAAGCAAGAGAGTTAACTGACTGTAAAAGTCCAGTTTCCACCCTTGCCGAACTAGGCGTTAAGGAGTTACATTTTGGCTGGACTAACGAGTCTATGCATAGTCCAATCAAAATTAGCAACCGCCAACTTGTTGTCAACAAATATTTTCCAACTCTTTTCATGTTTTTAATCAAGGTGCTCACGCAATTTGATGCACTTCGCGATGTAAAACCCCTTTTATTACACTATAGAACTTGATTATCGATCAGATCGTCTTGACTTGGCGCTGCCATTTTGTTTGATACAAATGCAAGTGATACGAGAGGTGGAATCTGATTGGTCCATAGGAGAGGCTCAGAAGAGACATGACTCGTAATAACAACTGGTGGCGCTACGATCGAGCCCAGGAATTACAGCCTTGTTCGGCAAGAGTGGGAACTAGACTTTTAAAGATGGGGTCTGTATGGCAGACCGGTTGCCTTCCAGCATGTTGTATTTGTCTTTGTTAATCAAGCCTTCTTTTGTTTCTTCAGAATATTAGAGAAACTGAAGCACCCACATATTGTTGCCTTTCAAGAAAGCTTCTGTGATGAAGTAGAGGAATGTCTTGTTATAATACAGGTGAGAACACAATCTCATTAAAATCAGATCTTAGTTCTCGCTACCGCTAAACAAAGATTTGAGGACATCCAATTAGGGGTCACGTCAGAGCGTCGCTTACCAGATCATGAAAGTGACAGTTGGAATGTGATCTCTAGTCATGCAGCCTCGAAAACTTTAACACAGGGTATTCCGAACAATCGTTATGGGCTAAACGACTGAATCCATACAATCTAGACCATCTTTTAGCCATTCCAGAATGCTCTTTTGTTCAGGTTTCAAATTTTTAATCGAGAATTTGTGAACATATGTTTCGAAGCGTAGTCGCCAATTTGAAATTAGTGCAGTAAAGCACGAGAAAGCTGCCTTATGATTGGCTAATGTCGACTTCTTGTCAGTCATTCCATTCGTCGGTCAAAGTTCGCGCAAGGTCGGTCTGATGTGACCCATAATGGGATTTTCTTCAGATCTTTGTTTAGCAGTAGCGAGAACTAAGATCTGATTTTAATGAGATTGGTGAGAACATAGCCCGGTTCAAATGTAGCCCACCATAGTATGAATTAACAAGTATTTATATTATGCATTGTAGCAGGGTCACGTGGGGTTTTATGCGTCCCCCGTTAGGTTTTATTCCACTCTCTCATTGTATAAAACCTAACGAGGGACGCCTAAAACCCCATGCATCCCGAGTGATCCCGCCATGAATTTATCTTACCCGTATGTTTTAAAATGACATTATAAAGAATTAAAACAAATTCAAAATTAATGTAAACAGCTGTTCAATTGAGCTGGGGTTAATTTGTGATATGTTACATGACTCAAGTGACTTTCATTGATTGGGAAAAAGCGTGCGGATTTTTGCTTTGAAGCTGGGTAGAAGGGATTTATTCTGCCTCTCAGAAATCCATGTGCAGCCATATCCAAAGCGGGATACATAGTATTTTATCAAGATCATGTGGACCAATCAAATCACGTCATTTTGACATGGTGGTATGAAAATATTTATTGTGGAGATTTTATTTGGATTACAAAAACAGATAAATGCTTGATACTTAAGCTTGATACAATTATTCAATGATAATTATTAAGACTGCATAATACAAACTTCAACACTGTGTATTTATGATACAATCCAAGTGGGTCGGTTTAAGGAAATATTACATAAATAAGTGTATTTCTTTGAGTTTTACAATTAAGGAACAAAGATAAAAAGGTGGCATAGCTATGCTCAGACAAATAAATATTTCTGGTATGCACTGTTATTTGTTACTGTGTTACCTCCCTTGAAGAAGCATTCCTTTGATTATCAATGGTAGCTGAGCCTGTAGACTATGATATTATTCCCTGGAAAAGCCGAAAAGCCGACGGAAAGCACTATTCTGTTCTTTAAGAAAGAAAAAATAAAGGATGGTTCAATAGTGGAAGAAAAAATAGCAGCATGTTGATGGCAATATATTGCAACACGTATCACAATATGGAGCTAGGTATTGCAATATATTGCTATACAAATTCCAGGCAATAAACAGCCATAATAAATATGACATAATCATGAAAAGTATATTCTTTTAAGTAATATATAAACAAATTGATGACTCAGCATGCCTAATCTGTCAGGTTAGCCTTATGCTTTGCAGCTATGATGTAGATTTGATACTGTTTTATAGTGTGTCAACATCATTTATATTTTCTGGTATAATTATTATAATTACGCATGTTATATGACTATTTTGATTTATAACTAAAGAGAAAGTGACTTTTTGTCTATTTTCAGGACTATTGCGATGGGGGTACAATTGAAGATAAGATTCGAGAAGCAACAAAGGTATTTATAGTAATGAGTGAGTGAGTATTGTTGTATGCCGCTTTCAGCAATGTTACAGCAATATCACAGCGGGGGACACCAGAAATGGGCTTCACACATTGTACCCGTGTGGGGAATAGAACCCGGGTCTTCAGCATGATGAGCAAACGCTTTAACCACTAGGCTACTCCATCACCTCTTAAAGTAATGCTTTAAGTGTGCTAGTATTGTAGGGATTTATAAGGGGGTTGATCAGGTGATATATTGTATATTATTCTTTAAGGAACTGAAAACAATACATCTTCATATCAATGAGTGAATGAGTGGGGTTTAACGCCGCTTTTAACATTATTCCAGCCATATCAGGGCGTGTCAGCTTAATGTGGGAGGAAAGCCGCAAGTGATGCAGGTCTCTAACGTTTACCACTTCAGTGAAACCCATGAGCACGGGTATGGTGCTGACAAACCTAGAAACATAATCGGGGCGAACCGGGATTCGAACCCAAAATCATAGGTTTCCGGTGTGCCCAAGGGATGCAACTCTGCACAGCGAATCGCTGCACCTTAGACAACTGGGGCCATCCGTGCTCCCCATATCAATAAAATGTGGAAAAAGAAATATGAAATGAAGTTCATGTTACATATGATCGACATGACACTAAAACAGGGAGGACATGTGTGGACCAACAGTCATTGGCGCTCAAGTTCTCTGTACAGAGTTACGTCCCTTTCATTGGATCATAGCAAGCAGCTTCTCAGCTCATAACACCCTTGTTACACTCTCGGTAACATCACTACCGTCAGTGTGGGAGCGGCCATTACAAGAATCTTGAAATTTGCCCTCTAACACTAAATGTAGTAACGTTTATACTTTTGTTTATGTCTTTGGGAATGCCATTATTGTGAAGTTTGAAAACGTTTACAACTGGCCATATTTCCCAGATGAATTTAACTTCTTGTCTGATCAGATTGGTTTGAAATTGCAGACAACGTAATACATCACCGAACTCCCCCCTTACATTCTTACTAATTACATGATAGTTGAAATGATATAGAAATTCAAACTGACAAACAATGAAGACAGTTTAGGTGGGGTCAGAGTATTTGGCGTCATGACAGTCATCACTTGTTTGTAGGGGGCACGGGTGGCCCAGTCATCTAAGGCACTGCGATTCGCTGTGCAGAGTTGTGTCCCTTGGGCACGCCAGAAACCTATGATTGTGGGTTCGAATCCCAGTTCGCCCCGATTATGTTTCTAGGTTTGTCAGCACCATACCCGTGCTCTTGGGTTTCACCGAAGTGGTAAACGTCTAAGACCTGCATCACTTCGGGCTTTCCTCCCACATTAAGCTGACACGCCGCGATATAACTGTAATACTGTTAAAAGCGGTGTTAAACCCAACTCACTCACTCGCTTGTTTGTAAACATAAAGGTCAGTCGGTAGCGAGTTCAACTCCAAGCATGGTGGTAGCCACCTATCACAGTGGGGAGCTTTGACGGGTGGCAGCGGTAGTATAGAGAGCTGGCTATCTCTGTGAGGAGCTTTGACTGGTGGCAGTGGTAGTAAGGAGAGCTGGCTATCTCTGTGAGGAGCTTTGATGGGTGACAGCGGTAGTATAGAGAGCTGGCTATCTCTGTGAGGAGCTTTGACTGGTGGCAGCGGTAGTATAGAGAGCTGGCTATCTCTGTGAGGAGCTTTGACTGGTGGCAGTGGTAGTAAGGAGAGCTGGCTATCTCTGTGAGGAGCTTTGATGGGTGACAGCGGTAGTATAGAGAGCTGGCTATCTCTGTGAGGAGCTTTGACTGGTGGCAGCGGTAGTATAGAGAGCTGGCTATCTCTGTGAGGAGCTTTGACTGGTGGCAGCGGTAGTATAGAGAGCTGGCTATCTCTGTGAGGAGCTTTGACTGGTGGCAGCGGTAGTATAGAGAGCTGGCTATCTCTGTGAGGAGCTTTGACTGGTGGCAGCGGTAGACCTGGCTATCTCTGTGAGGAGCTTTGACTGGTGGCAGCGGTAGTATAGAGAGCTGGCTATCTCTGTGAGGAGCTTTGACTGGTGGCAGCGGTAGTATAGAGAGCTGGCTATCTCTGTGAGGAGCTTTGACTGGTGGCAGCGGTAGTATAGAGAGCTGGCTATCTCTGTGAGGAGCTTTGACTGGTGGCAGCGGTAGTATAGAGAGCTGGCTATCTCTGTGAGGAGCTTTGACTGGTGGCAGTGGTAGTATAGAGAGCTGGCTATCTCTGTGAGGAGCTTTGACTGGTGGAAGTGGTAGTACTGTCAAAAGCAGGTTTGGGCCTATAACCCCATCCATGCTCAGTCATTTGTTAAAACCAAACTGAAGTTACCTTAAGTCACATTTTTCTTTTAAGCAATGACTTTTCATATAAAAATTTTAATTTGCGTTCTTAATTTAGAGAAAATTAAGTCCTTAACGGTAGTGAAGTTCAGCCATGATGGGTATTACCTAACAAAAAAGCTACAAAAAATTACAATAATCTAAGTGATCATTATGAGTGAGTGAGTGAGTGAGTGAGTGAGTTGGGTTTAACGCCGCTTTTAACAGTATTCCAGTTATATCGTGGCGTGTCAGCTTAATGTTGGAGGAAAACCCGAAGTGATGCAGGTCTCAGACATTTACCACTTCTGTGAAACCCAAGAGCATGGGTATGGTGCTGACAAACCTAGAAACATAATCGGGGCGAACTGGGATTCGAACTCACAATCATAGGTTTCTGGCGTGCCCAAGGGACGCAACTCTGCACAGCGAATCGCGGTGCCTTAGACGACTGGGCCACCCGTGCCCCCGATCATTATGAAGAGACAAACAATTACTACATCAAAATATGTGATATGAATATATTATTTTCTCTTTTTTTCCAGGAGAAAAAGTATTTTGAAGAAAAGCAGATCATGGAGGTTGGTAGATTTGTATTCTTGAAATAGGATAACGTCAGAAAAATGTTATCACCTCTTTACCTCGAAATGAGCTGATAGTATGATGAAAGATTTCTCAACATGTGACATTGAGATCACTTTGAATGTAGCAGGTGTAACAGTGTTTCATGCATAGTAACATCAGATAATGCAACTTCAGTTTTAATCAAGGTATGCCTCTTTTCATTAGTGGTTCCTGCAGATTGTGATGGGGGTGCAGTATTTCCATTCCAAGAAGATTCTACACAGGTATGTCAATCATGTACTTTATGAAAATGAGCTCTCCATGGAGATTCCAGGGCGGAGTATGTCCACACTAGCCAGAACTGACTAACTATGTTCTCTCCGTGGGAATACCCGGTACCCAGTGCTTGTAGGAGCCACTAACAGGATCAGGTGGTCAGGCTCGCTGACTTGGTTGATGCCTGTCATTGGATCCCAATTGCATAGATTGATGCTGATCACGGGATTGTCTGGCCCAGATTTGGCTATTTATAGACTGCCATCATACAGCTGAAATATTGTTGAGTGCGGTGTTAAACAATCAACAAACAAACCTTTATCATATTTCTATAAAATTGGTAACTAGGGAAGGAGAAAGCGAGATGCATTTATGCTGATGTTTGTCAAACTGCTACTGTTTATCAGAAATACCAAGTGAATTTAGTTTACCCAACCATGGTTCAAATCTGGCAATGTATCGCTATTGTACCTACCATGGATTGTACTTGACCTTGATGTTGTGATTTAGTATTGTCAGTATAATTCATGTATGTATTCTCTGTCACAAGTTCCAAAACCTCTATCTTTGTCTTCTTTTTAAATGTTTGAAGTACTTAATTCTATTTTCCATTTCAGAGATTTGAAAACAGAGAATATTTTTCTGACAAAGAAAAATGTAGTAAAGATAGGTAAGGTGAAATATGATTATTAATTTATTATGGTAATTGCCTTGGGCTGCGATATTTTGTTACAGGGTTGACCAATATTTGTTTCATGGCGGTAAGGGGGCGGTCGGGTAGCCTAGTGGTTAAAGCGTTCGCTCATCACACCGAAGACCCAGGTTCGATTCCCGACATGGGTACAATGTGTGAAGCCCATTTCTGGTGTCCTCCGCTGTGATATTGCTGGAATATTGCTGAAAGCGGCGTAAAAAAACCAACTCACTCACTTCATGGCGGTAAGAATAATATAGTTGTATGTCCAAGGGATATAAAATATAATAAAAGAAATATGCTGAAATGCATGTGGTCCTGTGCACAGCGCACAGCGCACAACGCACAGATAACAAATCAGATGAAGTTAAGCAACCTCGGTCTCGGAGAGTTGATTGGTGACCGCGTTCAGCAGCTTGACTCCTGAGTTTCTAGGGCTTGATAAACTTGATGAACTCATTCTTCAGTCTCAACTTTCAGAAGGAATGCTTAGCATCTTTCTAAAATCATTTCTTTTATTAATAATGAGAAATGTTGAATCTAAATTTCTATGGATCAAAATACTAGTAACTTGTTATGCATCTGCAAATGATCTATACCTTTTCTTGCACAGGTGATTTTGGAATCTCCAAGACTTTGGACAGCACTATTGATGTAGCCAAGACGGTGGTTGGGACGCCGACGTATCTGAGTCCAGAGCTCTGTCAGGACATCCCGTACAACTCCAAGTCGGATATCTGGGTAAGCAGTGAGTGAGTTGTGTTTAACGCCACTTTGATAAATGGTTCATTTTAATGGTACAACATTTTTTGACAGTATTTATTGTCGGATGATAGGTTTTCGGACATCATATGTTTTCAGACAGCCATGTTTATCGCGATTACTCGTGCTATAATGGGGAGTGTAGCATCACACACAGACATTGTAAATACTCAGATGATGGCTTGTTTTAAGGAAAAAATGTCTTTAATAAGTAAATGAGATGTTTTAAAGTTGTTCATGTGATTAGAGAGAGAACTACGAATCTGAGGACATCCCATTATGGGTCATGTCAGACCGACCTTGCGCGAACTTTGATCGACTAATGGAATGACTGACAAGAAGTCAACGTTAGCCAATCAGAAGGCAGCTTACTCGTGCTTTACGGCACTAATTTTAGTTTAGGCGGGGTTGGAGTATTTGGCGTCATGACAGTCATCACTTGTTTGTAAACATAAAGGTCAGTCGGTACGAGTTCAACTCCATGCATGGTTGCAGCCACCTATCACAGTGAGGAGCTTTGACTGGTGGCAGTGGTAGTATAGAGAGCTTGCTATCTCTGTGAGCAATCTCATTAAAATCAGATCTTAGTTCTCGCTTCAACTAAACAAAGATCTGAGGACATCCCATTACGGGTCACGTCAGACCAACCTTGCGCGAACTTTGACCGTCCAATGGAATGACCAATCAGAAGGCAGCTTTCTCGTGCTTTATGGCACTAATTTCAAATTGGCGACTACGCTTCGAAACATATATTGACAAATTCTCGATTAAAAATTTGAAACCTGAACAAAAGAACATTCTGGAATGGCTAACAGATGGTCTACATTGTATGGATTCAGTCATTAACCCCGTAACTATCATTCGGAATACCCTGTGTAAAACGTTTTCGAGGATGCATGATTAGATATCACATTCCGACTGTCACTTTCATAATCTGGTAAGCGACGCTCTGATTGGTCGGATGAAAGATCGCTCTGGCATGACCCCTACTGGGATGTCCTCAGATCTTTGTTTAGCGGTAGCGAGAACGATAATCTGATTTTAATGAGATTGCCATAACACGGGGATAGATTATGTCATGGTGTGTCAGCTGATGGTGGACGGAAAGCCCGAAGTGAAGCAGATCATCGGTGTGTATCACACATGTCATCCCCAGGGGCACACGTATGGTGTTGACAAACCTAGAATCATAATCAAGCTGAATCTAGGAGTTAGACCTTGATGTCATCTACAAGTATTAATTTTATTCCATATGTTGGGTTGGCAGATCAATGAGGTAAGTAATTTAAAAAACAATGCCGAAAATAGACTTGTGTTTGAACTTGAAGACTTGAGACTGTGAGATATTTTGTAACAGTAGACTGTACGTGTTTGTCTGTGCAGGCTCTGTGCTTTCTGTATGCCATTGCATGCCCCCAACAATGACTGTATGTGTTTTTGCAGGCTCTGGGCTGTGTCCTGTACGAGTTGTGTGCTCTCTGTACGCCGTTTGACGCCCCCAACATCCTCAGTCTCTTCTACAAGATTGTTAAGGCCGAGTTTGTGGTAAAAACATTTTTATTAATGTTATACATATGTATACTACTCAAAAGAAGTTAAAGAACACCTGATGTTTTCATATGGCTATAGTTAATGCTAATTGTAAGAGGCATCTACATTGGGAACCTGTAGGGAATCTATGCTAGAATTGGACACTACCAACCTATGCTGGTCGTAAGAGGCGACTTAATGGATCTATGACTGATGCATGTCATCATACCCCCACGGTGTGGATCGTTGCCATTAACATCAATCATTGGATTAATTACAGGCCGCTGTCATACAGCTGGAATATGTTAGTGTTAGTGTTAGTGTTGTGGATCGTTGCCATTAACATCAATCATTGGATTAATTACAGGCCGCTGTCATACAGCTGGAATATGTTAGTGTTAGTGTTAGTGTTGTGGATCGTTGCCATTAACATCAATCATTGGATTAATTACAGGCCGCTGTCATACAGCTGGAATATGTTAGTGTTAGTGTTAGTGTTGTGGATCGTTGCCATTAACATCAATCATTGGATTAATTACAGGCCGCTGTCATACAGCTGGAATATGTTAGTGTTAGTGTTAGTGTTGTGGATCGTTGCCATTAACATCAATCATTGGATTAATTACAGGCCGCTGTCATACAGCTGGAATATGTTAGTGTTAGTGTTAGTGTTGTGGATCGTTGCCATTAATATCAATCATTGGATTAATTACAGGCCGCTGTCATACAGCTGGAATATGTTAGTGTTAGTGTTAGTGTTGTGGATCGTTGCCATTAACATCAATCATTGGATTAATTACAGGCCGCTGTCATACAGCTGGAATATGTTAGTGTTAGTGTTAGTGTTGTGGATCGTTGCCATTAACATCAATCATTGGATAAATTACAGGCCGCTGTCATACAGCTGGAATATGTTAGTGTTAGTGTTAGTGTTGTGGATCGTTGCCATTAATATCAATCATTGGATTAATTACAGGCCGCTGTCATACAGCTGGAATATGTTAGTGTTAGTGTTAGTGTTGTGGATCGTTGCCATTAACATCAATCATTGGATTAATTACAGGCCGCTGTCATACAGCTGGAATATGTTAGTGTTAGTGTTAGTGTTGTGGATCGTTGCCATTAACATCAATCATTGGATTAATTACAGGCCGCTGTCATACAGCTGGAATATGTTAGTGTTAGTGTTAGTGTTGTGGATCGTTGCCATTAACATCAATCATTGGATTAATTACAGGCCGCTGTCATACAGCTGGAATATGTTAGTGTTAGTGTTAGTGTTGTGGATCGTTGCCATTAACATCAATCATTGGATTAATTACAGGCCGCTGTCATACAGCTGGAATATGTTAGTGTTAGTGTTAGTGTTGTGGATCGTTGCCATTAATATCAATCATTGGATTAATTACAGGCCGCTGTCATACAGCTGGAATATGTTAGTGTTAGTGTTAGTGTTGTGGATCGTTGCCATTAACATCAATCATTGGATTAATTACAGGCCGCTGTCATACAGCTGGAATATGTTAGTGTTAGTGTTAGTGTTGTGGATCGTTGCCATTAATATCAATCATTGGATTAATTACAGGCCGCTGTCATACAGCTGGAATATGTTAGTGTTAGTGTTAGTGTTGTGGATCGTTGCCATTAATATCAATCATTGGATTAATTACAGGCCGCTGTCATACAGCTGGAATATGTTAGTGTTAGTGTTAGTGTTGTGGATCGTTGCCATTAACATCAATCATTGGATTAATTACAGGCCGCTGTCATACAGCTGGAATATGTTAGTGTTAGTATTAGTGTTGTGGATCGTTGCCATTAATATCAATCATTGGATTAATTACAGGCCGCTGTCATACAGCTGGAATATGTTAGTGTTAGTGTTAGTGTTGTGGATCGTTGCCATTAATATCAATCATTGGATTAATTACAGGCCGCTGTCATACAGCTGGAATATGTTAGTGTTAGTGTTAGTGTTGTGGATCGTTGCCATTAACATCAATCATTGGATTAATTACAGGCCGCTGTCATACAGCTGGAATATGTTAGTGTTAGTGTTAGTGTTGTGGATCGTTGCCATTAACATCAATCATTGGATTAATTACAGGCCGCTGTCATACAGCTGGAATATGTTAGTGTTAGTGTTAGTGTTGTGGATCGTTGCCATTAACATCAATCATTGGATTAATTACAGGCCGCTGTCATACAGCTGGAATATGTTAGTGTTAGTGTTAGTGTTGTGGATCGTTGCCATTAACATCAATCATTGGATTAATTACAGGCCGCTGTCATACAGCTGGAATATGTTAGTGTTAGTGTTAGTGTTGTGGATCGTTGCCATTAACATCAATCATTGGATTAATTACAGGCCGCTGTCATACAGCTGGAATATGTTAGTGTTAGTGTTAGTGTTGTGGATCGTTGCCATTAACATCAATCATTGGATTAATTACAGGCCGCTGTCATACAGCTGGAATATGTTAGTGTTAGTGTTAGTGTTGTGGATCGTTGCCATTAACATCAATCATTGGATTAATTACAGGCCGCTGTCATACAGCTGGAATATGTTAGTGTTAGTGTTAGTGTTGTGGATCGTTGCCATTAACATCAATCATTGGATTAATTACAGGCCGCTGTCATACAGCTGGAATATGTTAGTGTTAGTGTTAGTGTTGTGGATCGTTGCCATTAACATCAATCATTGGATTAATTACAGGCCGCTGTCATACAGCTGGAATATGTTAGTGTTAGTGTTAGTGTTGTGGATCGTTGCCATTAACATCAATCATTGGATTAATTACAGGCCGCTGTCATACAGCTGGAATATGTTAGTGTTAGTGTTAGTGTTGTGGATCGTTGCCATTAACATCAATCATTGGATTAATTACAGGCCGCTGTCATACAGCTGGAATATGTTAGTGTTAGTGTTAGTGTTGTGGATCGTTGCCATTAACATCAATCATTGGATTAATTACAGGCCGCTGTCATACAGCTGGAATATGTTAGTGTTAGTGTTAGTGTTGTGGATCGTTGCCATTAACATCAATCATTGGATTAATTACAGGCCGCTGTCATACAGCTGGAATATGTTAGTGTTAGTGTTAGTGTTGTGGATCGTTGCCATTAACATCAATCATTGGATTAATTACAGGCCGCTGTCATACAGCTGGAATATGTTAGTGTTAGTGTTAGTGTTGTGGATCGTTGCCATTAACATCAATCATTGGATTAATTACAGGCCGCTGTCATACAGCTGGAATATGTTAGTGTTAGTGTTAGTGTTGTGGATCGTTGCCATTAACATCAATCATTGGATTAATTACAGGCCGCTGTCATACAGCTGGAATATGTTAGTGTTAGTGTTAGTGTTGTGGATCGTTGCCATTAACATCAATCATTGGATTAATTACAGGCCGCTGTCATACAGCTGGAATATGTTAGTGTTAGTGTTAGTGTTGTGGATCGTTGCCATTAACATCAATCATTGGATTAATTACAGGCCGCTGTCATACAGCTGGAATATGTTAGTGTTAGTGTTAGTGTTGTGGATCGTTGCCATTAACATCAATCATTGGATTAATTACAGGCCGCTGTCATACAGCTGGAATATGTTAGTGTTAGTGTTAGTGTTGTGGATCGTTGCCATTAACATCAATCATTGGATTAATTACAGGCCGCTGTCATACAGCTGGAATATGTTAGTGTTAGTGTTAGTGTTGTGGATCGTTGCCATTAACATCAATCATTGGATTAATTACAGGCCGCTGTCATACAGCTGGAATATGTTAGTGTTAGTGTTAGTGTTGTGGATCGTTGCCATTAACATCAATCATTGGATTAATTACAGGCCGCTGTCATACAGCTGGAATATGTTAGTGTTAGTGTTAGTGTTGTGGATCGTTGCCATTAACATCAATCATTGGATTAATTACAGGCCGCTGTCATACAGCTGGAATATGTTAGTGTTAGTGTTAGTGTTGTGGATCGTTGCCATTAACATCAATCATTGGATTAATTACAGGCCGCTGTCATACAGCTGGAATATGTTAGTGTTAGTGTTAGTGTTGTGGATCGTTGCCATTAACATCAATCATTGGATTAATTACAGGCCGCTGTCATACAGCTGGAATATGTTAGTGTTAGTGTTAGTGTTGTGGATCGTTGCCATTAACATCAATCATTGGATTAATTACAGGCCGCTGTCATACAGCTGGAATATGTTAGTGTTAGTGTTAGTGTTGTGGATCGTTGCCATTAACATCAATCATTGGATTAATTACAGGCCGCTGTCATACAGCTGGAATATGTTAGTGTTAGTGTTAGTGTTGTGGATCGTTGCCATTAACATCAATCATTGGATTAATTACAGGCCGCTGTCATACAGCTGGAATATGTTAGTGTTAGTGTTAGTGTTGTGGATCGTTGCCATTAACATCAATCATTGGATTAATTACAGGCCGCTGTCATACAGCTGGAATATGTTAGTGTTAGTGTTAGTGTTGTGGATCGTTGCCATTAACATCAATCATTGGATTAATTACAGGCCGCTGTCATACAGCTGGAATATGTTAGTGTTAGTGTTAGTGTTGTGGATCGTTGCCATTAACATCAATCATTGGATTAATTACAGGCCGCTGTCATACAGCTGGAATATGTTAGTGTTAGTGTTAGTGTTGTGGATCGTTGCCATTAACATCAATCATTGGATTAATTACAGGCCGCTGTCATACAGCTGGAATATGTTAGTGTTAGTGTTAGTGTTGTGGATCGTTGCCATTAACATCAATCATTGGATTAATTACAGGCCGCTGTCATACAGCTGGAATATGTTAGTGTTAGTGTTAGTGTTGTGGATCGTTGCCATTAACATCAATCATTGGATTAATTACAGGCCGCTGTCATACAGCTGGAATATGTTAGTGTTAGTGTTAGTGTTGTGGATCGTTGCCATTAACATCAATCATTGGATTAATTACAGGCCGCTGTCATACAGCTGGAATATGTTCAGTGTTAGTGTTAGTGTTGTGGATCGTTGCCATTAACATCAATCATTGGATTAATTACAGGCCGCTGTCATACAGCTGGAATATGTTAGTGTTAGTGTTAGTGTTGTGGATCGTTGCCATTAACATCAATCATTGGATTAATTACAGGCCGCTGTCATACAGCTGGAATATGTTAGTGTTAGTGTTAGTGTTGTGGATCGTTGCCATTAACATCAATCATTGGATTAATTACAGGCCGCTGTCATACAGCTGGAATATGTTAGTGTTAGTGTTAGTGTTGTGGATCGTTGCCATTAACATCAATCATTGGATTAATTACAGGCCGCTGTCATACAGCTGGAATATGTTAGTGTTAGTGTTAGTGTTGTGGATCGTTGCCATTAACATCAATCATTGGATTAATTACAGGCCGCTGTTATACAGCTGAATATGTTAGTGTTAGTGTTAGTGTTGTGGATCGTTGCCATTGTGTTAGTGTTAGTGTTAGTGTTAGTGTAAGTGTAAGTGTTAGTGTAAGTGTTAGTGTTAGTGTTAGTGTTAGTGTGTTAGTGTAAGTGTTAGTGTTAGTGTAAGTGTTAGTGTTAGTGTAAGTGTTAGTGTTAGTGTTAGTGTAAGTGTTAGTGTTAGTGTAAGTGTTAGTGTTAGTGTAAGTGTTAGTGTTAGTGTTAGTGTTAGTGTAAGTGTTAGTGTTAGTGTTAGTGTTAGTGTGTTAGTGTAAGTGTTAGTGTTAGTGTTAGTGTGTTAGTGTAAGTGTAAGTGTTAGTGTTAGTGTTAGTGTTAGTGTGTTAGTGTAAGTGTTAGTGTTAGTGTTAGTGTTAGTGTAAGACTTTGCATATCAGTATTAACCTTGATGTATCCATGTTGTCATATATGGCTAAAAAAAATCATAGTCTTGGTTCTCGGGCACCGCCCACATCATCATAAATTTCGCCGCACGTTTTGTTTATATTTCATATTTAAAAATCACTGAATATTCCAAGTCCTACGGCAGCCCAAAACTGTATTCTAGGGGGAGGCCCTTTCCCAGGTAACATACTAGTTTGCCCCCCCCCCCCCCCCCCTAATAAATAAAACAAATTTAAATAACCACCGCCCGCCTTCATACATTTTCAGAAGTCATTGCCTGAGAACCAATTCTTTTATTTTTTTTAAGCCTATTATGCATACTGTATTCGACGTAATAAGCACCCCTCTCTAATAAGCGCCCACGGCGATATTTGCTTATATATTGGCAAGTGAACAATCCCAATTAGCACCCCTTCCGATTGATCAATGTACACAAGACTTATTTATTCGTGTATAATACGCACGCGTGTGTTATATACACCCTTAATTATAGGCAATTAAATTCAGGAAAAATATATCTGTTGTATATAAACAGTTTAGGCCGTCAGCATAAACCCCGAAATTTACAATCTTTCAACTCTGTTTTTTCCGCCAAAATGATATTCTAATAAGAGCCCCCTATTTCTATTTTTGAGAGCGCCTTGGCCTCTTATTACGTCGAATACGGTATTGCTCTTGCATGTTAACTGAAAAACGTATAACTCAGTGACTGACTGTTACAGCCTCCTCCATCGCGGTACACGCAGCAGCTGAGGGAGTTGGTGAAGTTGCTGCTGGCCAAGACACCAGAAGACAGACCCAGGTACGTCAGGAAGTGTTCAACATACATTGTGTTCCAGTGTTGGATTTTACATTAACAATGAAACCCCGTTGATCCGGACGGCCACTCGTGATCTTTTGCCTTCACACGCGTTCCTTGATGGCGGACTGTGCATATTCGTGTCTGGACCAGACAATCCAGTGATTGTCATTTTGAGCATCGGCCTACTCATTTGGGATGACATGCATCAACTAAGTCAGCTGACAACCCGATCCCGTTAGTTGCTTCTTACAACAAGCATGGGTTGTTGATGACCATTTCTAACCCAATCTCATTAAAATCAGATCTTAGTTTTCGCTACCGCTAAACAAAGATCTGAGGACATCCCATTACGGGTCACGTCAGAACGACCTTTTGCGAATTTTGACCGACCAATGAAATGACTGACAAGAAATCGACATTAGCCAATCAGAAGGCAGCTTTCTCGAGCTTTACAACACCAGTTTCAAACTGGAGACTACGCCTCGAAACATATTTTGACGTATTCTCAATTAAAAAAATTAAAACTGATAAGAAAAACATTCTGGAATGGCTTATAGATGGCCTAGATTGTATGGATATAATCATAAAACCAGTAACTGTCGTTCGGAATACCCCGTGTTAAATATTTCGTGGTTGCATGATTAGAAAACACATTCCGACTGTCACTTTCATGATCTGGTAAGAGCTCTGATTGGTTGGATGAAAGGTCGTTCTGACGTGACCCTTAATGGGATGTCCTCAGATCTTTGTTCAGCGATAGCGAGAACTAATATCAGATTTTAATGAGATTGTTTCTAACCCAAATATTCATGGGGAGGCCCTTGTACCTCATGCTGACTACAATTGGGGTCCGGCTCAATCACAATCACAGATCTGTGTAGGGACTAATAAGTCATATGGAAAGTGTTAGAATAGGCCCTAGTACCTCATGCTTGTTGTAAGAGCTGACTAAAATAAGCATTTGGGGTCTGGCTCTGTGACATGTTAGACTGTATTGCCTAATGGTGGGATCGTTGCTATTGCTCTGTCACTGGTTTGTCATCTTCCCGAGGCAAGAGAGTTAACTGACTTTAAAAGTCCATTTTCCAACCTTGCCGTACTAGGCTGGAATTACTGGGCTCGATCGTAGCGCCTCCAGTGGCTATTACCAGTTATGTTCCTTCTAAGCCTCTCCTATGGACCAATCAGATTCCGACTCTCGTATCACTTGCGTTTGCTTCACACAAAATGGTGGCGCCCAGTCAGGACGATCTGATCAATGATCAAGATCTATATTGTGATAAAATTGGTCTTATGCATCAAATCACCTTGATTCAAAACGTGAAAAGGTTTGGAAAATATCTGCTGACAACGAGTTGGCGGTGCACATGCTTTGCAAATCCTGCAATCGACCGAAATCTGTACGACAGTTTATGAACCGGATTCGATTTCGGTGCGCGATTTTGATAAGACTATGCATAGACTCGTTAGACCAGCCAAACTGTAACTCCGTAATACCAGGCTAGTTCGGCAAGGGTGGAAACTGGACTTTTATAGTCAGTTCACTCACTTGCCTCGGGAAGATGCTGGTTTGTCTGGTTCAGAGTCAATTATTGACTGGTCAACATGACATTGCTGGAATATTGCTGACTGCAACACGAAACAATATTCCTTCACTCCCTGCTTATGTATACAATGCTCTTTTACTGTTAGGTTTACCTGTCTCTTAATGTCAGGTTTACCTGTCTTTTACTGCTAGGTTTACCTGTCTCTTAGTGTTAGATTTACCTGTCTCTCACTGTCAGGTTTACCTGTCTCTCACTGTCAGGTTTACCTGTCTCTCACTGTCAGGTTTACCTGTCTCTCACTGTTAGGTTTACCTGTCTCTCACTGTCAGGTTTACCTGTCTCTCACTGTCAGGTTTACCTGTCTCTCACTGTCAGGTTTACCTGTCTCTCACTGTCAGTTTTACCTGTCTCTCACTGTCAGGTTTACCTGTCTCTCACTGTTAGGTTTACCTGTCTCTCACTGTTAGGTTTACCTGTCTCTCACTGTCAGGTTTACCTGTCTCTCACTGTCAGGTTTACCTGTCTCTCACTGTCAGTTTTACCTGTCTCTCACTGTCAGGTTTACCTGTCTCTCACTGTTAGGTTTACCTGTCTCTCACTGTTAGGTTTACCTGTCTCTCACTGTCAGGTTTACCTGTCTCTCACTGTCAGGTTTACCTGTCTCTCACTGTTAGGTTTACCTGTCTCTAAATGTCAGGTTTACCTGTATCTTACTGTCAGGTTTACCTGTCTCTCACTGTCAGGTTTACCTGTCTCTCACTGTCAGGTTTACCTGTCTCTCACTGTTAGGTTTACCTGTCTCTCACTGTTAGGTTTACCTGTCTCTCACTGTCAGGTTTACCTGTCTCTCACTGTCAGGTTTACCTGTCTCTCACTGTTAGGTTTACCTGTCTCTAAATGTCAGGTTTACCTGTCTCTCACTGTCAGGTTTACCTGTCTCTCACTGTTAGGTTTACCTGTCTCTCACTGTAAGTTTTACCTGTCTCTCACTGTTAGGTTTACCTATCTCTCACTGTCAGGTTTACCTGTCTCTCACTGTCAGGTTTACCTGTCTCTCACTGTTAGGTTTACCTGTCTCTCACTGTTAGGTTTACCTGTCTCTCACTGTCAGGTTTACCTGTCTCTCACTGTTAGGTTTACCTGTCTCTTACTGTCAGGTTTACCTGTCTCTCACTGTCAGGTTTACCTGTCTCTCACTGTCAGGTTTACCTGTATCTTACTGTCAGGTTTACCTGTCTCTCACTGTCAGGTTTACCTGTCTCTCACTGTCAGGTTTACCTGTCTCTCACTGTAAGGTTCACCTGTCTCTCACTGTCAGGTTTACCTGTCTCTCACTGTCAGGTTTACCTGTCTCTTACTGTTAGGTTTACCTGTCTCTCACTGTCAGGTTTACCTGTCTCTCACTGTAAGTTTTACCTGTCTCTCACTGTTAGGTTTACCTGTCTCTCACTGTCAGGTTTACCTGTCTCTCACTGTCAGGTTTACCTGTCTCTTACTGTCAGGTTTACCTGTCTCTCACTGTAAGTTTTACCTGTCTCTCACTGTTAGGTTTACCTGTCTCTCACTGTTATGTTTACCTGTCTCTCACTGTTAGGTTTACCTGTCTCTCACTGTTATGTTTACCTGTCTCTCACTGTTAGGTTTACCTGTCTCTCACTGTTAGGTTTACCTGTCTCTCACTGTCAGGTTTACCTGTCTCTCACTGTTAGGTTTACCTGTCTCTCACTGTCAGGTTTACCTGTCTCTCACTGTTAGGTTTACCTGTCTCTCACTGTCAGGTTTACCTGTCTCTCACTGTTAGGTTTACCTGTCTCTCACTGTCAGGTTTACCTGTCTCTCACTGTCAGGTTTACCTGTCTCTCACTGTTAGGTTTACCTGTATCTTACTGTCAGGTTTACCTGTCTCTCACTGTCAGGTTTACCTGTCTCTCACTGTCAGGTTTACCTGTCTCTCACTGTTAGGTTTACCTGTCTCTCACTGTTAGGTTTACCTGTCTCTAAATGTCAGGTTTACCTGTCTCTCACTGTCAGGTTTACCTGTCTCTCACTGTCAGGTTTACCTGTCTCTTAATGTCAGGTTTACCTGTCTCTCACTGTTATGTTTACCTGTTTCTCACTGTTAGGTTTACCTGTCTCTCACTGTTAGGTTTACCTGTCTCTCACTGTCAGGTTTACCTGTCTCTCACTGTCAGGTTTACCTGTCTCTTACTGTCAGGTTTACCTGTCTCTCACTGTTAGGTTTACCCGTCTCTCACTGTCAGGTTTACCTGTATCTTACTGTCAGGTTTACCTGTCTCTCACTGTTAGGTTTACCTGTCTCTCACTGTTAGGTTTACCTGTCTCTCACTGTCAGGTTTACCTGTCTCTCACTGTCAGGTTTACCTGTCTCTCACTGTCAGGTTTACCTGTATCTTACTGTCAGGTTTACCTGTCTCTCACTGTAAGGTTTACCTGTCTCTCACTGTTAGGTTTACCTGTCTCTCACTGTCAGGTTTACCTGTCTCTCACTGTCAGGTTTACCTGTCTCTCACTGTTAGGTTTACCTGTCTCTCACTGTCAGGTTTACCTGTCTCTCACTGTCAGGTTTACCTGTCTCTCACTGTTAGGTTTACCTGTCTCTCACTGTCAGGTTTACCTGTCTCTCACTGTTAGGTTTACCTGTCTCTCACTGTTAGGTTTACCTGTCTCTCACTGTCAGGTTTACCTGTCTCTTACTGTCAGGTTTACCTGTCTCTCACTGTCAGGTTTACCTGTCTCTCACTGTTAGGTTTACCTGTCTCTTACTGTCAGGTTTACCTGTCTCTCACTGTTAGGTTTACCTGTCTCTTACTGTCAGGTTTACCTGTCTCTCACTGTCAGGTTTACCTGTCTCTTACTGTCAGGTTTACCTGTCTCTCACTGTCAGGTTTACCTGTCTCTCACTGTCAGGTTTACCTGTCTCTTACTGTCAGGTTTACCTGTCTCTCACTGTCAGGTTTACCTGTCTCTCACTGTCAGGTTTACCTGTCTCTCACTGTCAGGTTTACCTGTCTCTTACTGTTAGGTTTACCTGTCTCTCACTGTCAGGTTTACCTGTCTCTCACTGTTAGGTTTACCTGTCTCTCACTGTCAGGTTTACCTGTCTCTCACTGTCAGGTTTACCTGTCTCTCACTGTTAGGTTTACCTGTCTCTCACTGTTAGATTTACCTGTTTCTCACTGTCAGGTTTACCTGTCTCTCACTGTCAGGTTTACCTGTCTCTCACTGTTAGGTTTACCTGTCTCTCACTGTTAGGTTTACCTGTCTCTCACTGTAAGTTTTACCTGTCTCTTACGGTACGGTTTCTGTAACCAGCGCCAGCGCCATCCTGAACTTGCCGTATGTGCAGACCCATCTGGGAGACTTCATCCAGGAGAAGGAGACACTATTCCAGCAGAGGAGTGTCAGGGACACACTAAGCCAGTCTCTTCTAGCTGATAGTCCAGGCAGCAAAGATAAACTTTTGAGGTAAGGACACTTTAGACAGTCTGTGTTCCAACAGTTGATGGGGCGGTCGGGTAGCCTAGTGGTTAAAGCGTTTGCTCATCACGCCAAAGACCCAGGTTCTATTCCTGACATGGGTACATTGTGTGAAGCCCATTTCTGGTGTCCCCGCCGTGATATTGCTGGGATATTGCTAAAAGCCGCATTAAACCATACTCACTTACTCCAACAGTTGATATGAGTTACATGTCTCACTAGCAGGAAGTAGGAGGTTTTGCAAGCTGTACATCACATGACTGGGGGTGTACACGAACGTAAGAACGTAAAATTGCATGACACATATTTATCATCACGACTTCACAAGCTTTTGATCTGGTCACTGATTCCGACCAGCTGTGGCAGTTGTAAGGTGACAAGCAAGTAAGACACATACAATATTGTAACATCATGATGTCAAAGGCAAGTTGTACTCAGCTGGCAAGGCAATCCGTCATAGGCAGGACAACCTACGTGGTCCTCTTTAATTACACCACAACAACACACATAAAACCAGGCACAGTGATCCGGGTGGGATCAGAAAATTTATCCAGTGACAAAAGATGGAAAACAAAACACGCCGACAAGCCATCTTCTTTGAATACAAGAAGGTGACCGGCCAATCAGATAGCAAGATACTTTCATGAGTAATGATAATCATTCATCGGAGCAGATGTCTCCACTCCCCAATTATCGATTGTCTGGTGGTTTGATTATTGGTTATGAGATATGACAAAATATTTCAACAAACAGCAAAGAAAATGCAAGCTGATGTGGTAATAGCCATTGAATATTTTGGACTTCAAGTTAGAACTATTCCAACTATTACAAAAGAAATACATTGGTTAATGATTGTATTTGATATTCTTTGGATTAAAGTACTGTAAAATACAGAAAGGAATATTCTTTTGTAAGTAAGTGAGTGAGTTGGGTTAAACGCCGCTTTTAACAATATTCCAGTTATATCGCGGCCTGTCAGCTTAATGTGAGAGGAATGCCCGAAGTGATGCAGGTCTCAGACATTTACCACTTCGGTAAAACCCGCGAGCACGGGTATGGTGCTGACAAACCTAGAAACATAATCGGGGCGAACCGGAATTCGAACCCACAATCATAGGTTTTCTGGCGTGCCCAAGAGACGCAACTCTGCACAGCGAATCGCGGCTCCTTGGACGACTGGGCCACCTGTGCCCCCTTTTCTTTTGTAAAAGGTTATCAGGGAACCTCAAGGTACTTTGTTTTTCAGTCCACCCAGTGACAAGTCCTCGAGTGGTCCCAGCCCTAGAGTCAGTAGGAGGGCAACCGACAGTCAGAAGTCTCCGTCTCACCAACCAGAAGCAGCACTCACTTATAGACCTGGCAACAGGCCGGAGGGTAAGTATTGTCACACACAAGGCACAGTCGTGAGAGGGAGGGAGGGAGGGAGGGCAACCGACAGTCAGAAGTCTCCGTCTCACCAACCAGAAGCAGCACTCACTTATAGAGCTGGCAACAGGCTGGAGGGTAGGTATTGTCACACACAAGGCACAGTAGTGAGAGGGAGGGAGGGAGGGCAACCGACAGTCAGAAGTCTCCGTCTCACCAACCAGAAGCAGCACTCACTTATAGACCTGGCAACAGGCCGGAGGGTAGGTATTGTCACACACAAGGCACAGTAGTGAGAGGGAGGGAGGGCAACCGACAGTCAGAAGTCTCCGTCTCACCAACCAGAAGCAGCACTCACTTATAGAGCTGGCAACAGGCTGGAGGGTAGGTATTGTCACACACAAGGCACAGTAGTGAGAGGGAGGGAGGGCAACCGACAGTCAGAAGTCTCCGTCTCACCAACCAGAAGCAGCACTCACTTATAGAGCTGGCAACAGGCCGGAGGGTAGGTATTGTCACACACAAGGCACAGTAGTGAGAGGGAGGGAGGGCAACCGACAGTCAGAAGTCTCTGTCTCACCAACCAGAAGCAGCACTCACTTATAGAGCTGGCAACAGGCCGGAGGGTAGGTATTGTCACACACAAGGCACAGTAGTGAGAGGGAGGGAGGGCAACCGACAGTCAGAAGTCTCCGTCTCACCAACCAGAAGCAGCACTCACTTATAGAGCTGGCAACAGGCCGGAGGGTAGGTATTGTCACACACAAGGCACAGTAGTGAGAGGGAGGGAGGGCAACCGACAGTCAGAAGTCTCTGTCTCACCAACCAGAAGCAGCACTCACTTATAGAGCTGGCAACAGGCCGGAGGGTAGGTATTGTCACACACAAGGCACAGTAGTGAGAGGGAGGGAGGGCAACCGACAGTCAGAAGTCTCTGTCTCACCAACCAGAAGCAGCACTCACTTATAGAGCTGGCAACAGGCTGGAGGGTAGGTATTGTCACACACAAGGCACAGTAGTGAGAGGGAGGGAGGGTGACCGACAGTCAGAAGTCTCCGTCTCACCAACCAGAAGCAGCACTCACTTATAGAGCTGGCAACAGGCCGGAGGGTAGGTATTGTCACACACAAGGCACAGTAGTGAGAGGGAGGGAGGGCAACCGACAGTCAGAAGTCTCCGTCTCACCAACCAGAAGCAGCACTCACTTATAGAGCTAGCAACAGGCCGGAGGGTAGGTATTGTCACACACAAGGCACAGTAGTGAGAGGGAGGGCGACCGACAGTCAGAAGTCTCCGTCTCACTAACAAGAAGCAGCACTCACTTATAGAGCTGGCAACAGGCTGGAGGGTAGGTATTGTCACACACAAGGCACAGTAGTGAGAGGGAGGGAGGGCAACTGACAGTCAGAAGTCTCCGTCTCACCAACGAGAAGCAGCACTCACTTATAGATCTGGCAACAGGCTGGAGGGTAGGTATTGTCACACACAAGGCACAGTAGTGAGAGGGAGGGTGACCGACAGTCAGAAGTCTCCGTCTCACCAACGAGAAGCAGCACTCACTTATAGAGCTGGCAACAGGCCGGAGGGTAGGTATTGTCACACACAAGGCACAGTAGTGAGAGTGAGTGAGGGAGGAAGGAGGGAAGGTGGGAGGGCAACCGACAGAAATCTCGATCCCAGAAGAAACACGTCAGTGATAGAGCTGGAACAGGCTGGAGTGTACAATATTGCTACAAACTGGGCAATGAAGTTTTTAAAACATCCCAACAATCCCAGCAATATTGCCAATTCCTGTAAATGGCTAACCTATTGTTTCCAGGTGGGTATCAAATTCAGGTTATCAGTGGCAGTAAGTAACAGACCCTTTAATAAGTGTCTGTGCACTCTTTAATGTCAAGAATTATGAATGTTGCTGTTGCATGTCTTGAAAGAGGACGTGTTCCGTTCATGGATCCAGAATAGTGTTGGAAGCCTGGCAGAAGTTCTTTAGATAGGCATCCAATCTGTAGATAAGACATAAGTCAGGTCGTAAAAAGCCTTGAAACACCCCGTCTTGCCCTTATTAAGGTAAAGCCAGCCTTCTAGAAACTTTCACATCATGAAGCTTCTCAAACAGTCAAGCTGTCCTGTGTTTGTCAACAACCAAGGGAGGTAACTCTATATCACACTTCCTGTTACAATCTGGCCACTGTAGCACAGGATATTTTAATAGTGTTTCCGTCATATCCTGCCACTGACAATCACAACACATAAACTGACAACAATCTCTACTGGCACATTACACCACTGTCTTAGCTCTGTGACATTAATCACCTTGTGGAACATCCCCACGGTAATGGTAGAGAACAAGGATTGTACATGAATTATATTTGCGGGACGTTTGGGTTGCCCAGTGGTGAAAGCGTTCGCTCGGCCTGAGTTCATTTCAGTGTGTGGAGCCCATTTCGGCCGTGATATCGCTGGAATATTGCTGTAGCGGCGTAAAACCATACTTACTCATTCACGACAATGATTCGCAACATTACATCATTTCAATTATTATTGCAGGAGAAGATAAGGCAGAGTATTCGGATGATTTTGATGAATCATCATCTTCTGAAATTGAAGAAGGTTGGTATGAATTATAAGCGTACATATTATTTGACATGTCTGGTTCTCTGAGCTACGTTCCTTGTTCCACAAAGTAATCTTAGTACTAAGACGTATATAACTCCCAACAAAGACTTACGACAGTCATAGTGCTAAGATCACGTAATATTCCCTTTTATCTTTTTCTGTAACAACTTTGCAGTGGAGCAAATATTGTTGTGATGAAATCAGAATTTTATCAACTGCATCTGTCCTGTTAAAGCGTTGTGATGTAATGTAGGCCCTCTGTTTCTTTCAGCCCTTTTGAATGACACAATAACTCTTAGAATAGGTCTTCAGCAACCCATGCTTGCCATAAAAGGCGACCGCTTGTCGTAACATGCGACTAAAGGGATCGGGTGGTCAGGCTCGCTGACTTTAGTTGATGCATGTCATCGTATCCCAAAAGCTCATGTCAATCACTGGTGTCTGGTCCAGACTTGAATATTTACAGACCGCCATCATGTAGCTGGAATATTGCTAAGGGTGGCGTTAAACAACAAACAAACAAACAAACAATCAGGCTCAATGACTCATGTGTATCGTAACACTATTTGTTACGGGCATTTCCAAAGCGACTAACGGGATCGGGTGGTCAGGCTCACTAACTTGGTTGATGCATGTCATCAATCCCTATTGCGTGGATCGATGCTCATGATATTAATCACTGGATTGTCTGGTCTAGACTCGATCATTTACAGACCGCCATCATATAGCTTGAATATTGCTGGGTGCGGCGTCAAACAACAAACCAACCAACCAACTTGTCCTCAGTACTGATCGCCAGGTTCTACATGGTTGTACTGTCAAAAATAAACTAAGCATTCTTTGCCACCACTACGACTTATTGTTGAAGTTTACCAGAGGTGTTACAGTATAGCCGATAGTTCTATGACAACCCCTTGACTTGAGTGTTGGTTTATTGAGACTTTCTCATCGCAGACATACAAGAGGTTCCTGAGGCCAAGGATGGCAGCGAGTCCGAAGCAGATTATGCTGATGACTTTGAGGAATATGATTCCAGTCAGGTAGGATGTTTGTCTTGCTCGTTCTGGCAAAGATTATAGATGGATCAAGTGGTCAAGTAGTGAGTGAGTGAGTGAGTGAGTTGGGTTTAACGCTGCTTTTAACAGTATTCCAGTTATATTGCGGCATGTCAGCTTAATGTGGGAGGAAATCCCGAAGTGATGCAGGTCTCAGACATTTACCACTTCGGTGAAACCCACGAGCACGGGTATGGTGCTGACAAACCTAGAAACATAATCGGGGCGAACCGGGATTTCAACCCACAATGATAGGTTTCTGGCACAGCGAATCATGGCGCCTTAGCCGACTGGGACAACCGTGCCCCCTCATGCTCCTTGTTAGTACCTGTGCTTGTTTTACCCAAGTGGTAACAATCTATGACCTAGATCATATTGAGTTATATTCCAAAATGAAGCTGACAAGCTGTGATGAAACTGAAATATGGTTCATCATGGTTTTATAATGCTCACTTCACCCGAAGGTGTCAGTAGATGGCTTCTGGTCCTGAGACAAAGTGTACTGTGATGCAAATTGAAACAGTGAAAAAGTATGTCCCACCTATACTGATGTTTGTTTCAGTCTTGCTGACCAGACCCGTGAAGATCTGGGGTAGACTAGATCTTCAGCAACCCATGCTTGCCGTGAAAGGCGACTCTGTTTGTCGTAAGAGGCGACTAACGGGATCGGGTGTTCAGACTCGCTGACTTGGTTGATGCATGTCATCGTATCCCAGTTACGTGGATCGATTCTCATGATGTCAATCACTGGATTGTCTAGTCTAAACTTGATTATTTATAAACCGCCGTCATATGGCTGAAATATTGCTGAGTTGAAGAACAAACAAACAAAACTCCTTTACAGGATCTGGAGGAGCTGGTTCACCAGGCCAGGGAGGCGCGGGACGTAGAGGCTCGGGACGACTACTTTGAAGAAAGTATGAACAGCAGTACTCTAAGTGAGGCATCACTGCTGAAGAAGTAAGTACAGTGGTGTGGACATCGATTGTGTTCACAATAAAGTCAATGGGTCTTTGTCACAGTTTAATTCAAAAAATAAATTTTCAGGGGTGTCAAAGTAAGGATATTTTAGATAAAACCACAAGGACCCAAAGACCCCCTTAATTTCTAATACAGTATCTCTTGTTGTGTTTGCACAGAAATATCAATTGGAAAAATGGATATCACTGTTTTTTTCCATTCATTTGTTTTATAGTCATTCAGAAGTATACATGACATATCCAATGTTAAAATCATGGCCTATAATTTCAGAATTAATGTATAGGGCTAAAAAAAATAAAAGTATTGGTTCTCAGGCACCGCCCGCATCATCTGCTGCATGTTTTGTTTTTATTTCAATTATAAATTTTAAAAAATAAATTCTAATACTTAAAAACAATGCGATCAACTATAGCACACAGTTACTTCCCTTTACATGTGTACTGCTTACTGCACATCTCAAGTTATGGTCATGGTGGCAATAGGAGTTTGTAGGCTCGTTTATGTAGGTACCGGTAGAGGCCCTTTCCGAGGTTGATGGTACACAAATGTTTATCTGGAGACATACTTGTTTGAACAAGCAAAAAAACAAAAAACAATCACCCGCCCGCACTATATTTTCAAAAGTCATTGCCTGAGAGCCAATTCTTTTATTTTTTTAAGCCTAGTCTAGCAAATACTGAAACAAGTTTAGTTTCTGCATCAATTTTATTTTTAACAGTTAAAAAGCATGTCCCTTACAGAATTTGTTGGTGGAGTTTAAAGACTTTTGCAGCAGGATGCTTCAAGGATTAAGGCTGAATTATTGCTGAATTATCACTGAGACTGTGGGAATTCTGGGTTAGAATATGTCCTTAGCAACGTTTGCTGGTCGTAAGAGGTGACTTAGTGGATCATGTGGTCAGGCTCGGTGACTTGCTAGATTATGTGTTATCATACCCATGTGGATCATTGCTGATTATATCAACCACTAGGGCTGACTAGAAAGATTGGTAATTGGAATTATCGTTGATGGGAAGAAATATTAACGATTACTGATATGAAAAATTGTGTCATTGATAATATATTACATACCGGTAAACTACTGTGATGAAAAAAATTAAAATTTACCCAAACAGACTTTTTATTGTCAATAATGGCAATTGCCCAAGACGGAAAGCAACTGTTTTTGTTATATCTTACATGTCCACAAAGTAATCCATGCATGAATGTGTCACTGCTCACAAGTGATGTGAAATATGTTGATTTCCTTCAGACTTTTTCTCATATTTGCTCAAAGTTACTTCTCCCATATTTATTGATAATTGATCGATATTTTGTTCATGATTATCATTCTCTTTGATCCATTTCGATAGCTAGCCATATCAACCACTGGATTGTCAGGTCCAGACTCAATTATTTAGTCAGCCCTCATGTAGCTGGAATATTGCTGCATTGGAGTTTGGCTTTAACAAGGGAGATAATTCCTTTGCTTTATGACAATGCAACGTTTCAGTGTAGATACTAGCACCTAGGGCTGGGACGAGTCCGAATTTACTACCCGATAGTCAGAAAGCATGCCTGCATAGTGAAAAAGAAATGTGAACATTAGCTATACTTGTAGTGTAATCATTGAGTTTTATTGTTAATGTCATTAAACAGTTTGTCACGTGACTAACCACGGGACCGGGTAGTCCTGGGGGTACCCGGGTCCTACTCAGGACCCACCCGACCCAAGTACCCGAGTTACCCGTCCCAGCCCTACTAGCACCGTTATCAGGCAAATGATGTCTTGCTTGATAATGGTGTTAGTATCTACGCCGAAACAACACATTCATTGTAATACAGTTGTGTATTCATAGAACTATCTCCCTTAAAGAAGTGGCATTAAACAACAAACAAATAAAACAAAAGAATTATTGCAGAAAAAACTGATTGATTTGTGTTGCAGACATTACCTAGAGGATCTGGGGGGAGGCCTACTAGGGGATGTGACAGCCATGATGGAGGACACACAGACAGACAACCCAGACTGAACAAGGGAGGCGTCATTGTACAGATATGCTACAGCAATGAACAGACAAACATTCCATAGACCCTGTGTGTGGAGGTCTCATTGAGATGACGTATAACAAGACCAACCTCAGATTTGTACATGTTGGTGATCTTGATTGTGTACCCATCTTCCCGAGGCAAGGTTATTAACTGACTATAAAGGTCCAGTTTCCACCCTTGCTGAACTAGGCTGGCATTGTAGAGTTCTGTCTAATAGTCCAATCAAAACTGCGCAACGTAATGGACATCTGGTTCATAAACTGCTGTGCAGATTTCAGTTGATTGCAGGATTTGCAAAACGTGTACTGCCAACTCGGTGTCAACAGATATTTTCTAAATATTTTATTGTTTTTAATGAAGGTGCTCAAGTAATTGGATACTCTTTGCAAAGTAAGACCCTTTAGGCAAGGCGTTTTATATTATTCGGATTACGGACCCGCCGACTCTAATTTTTGAGAAAATGTAAAAAAAGAAAAATCAGATTTCCATATTTTTTTTCCTGCCGATAGCCGTGTAGTCAGTTATTTTATTTGTTATCATCACCTTTTAATAAAAAAAACATATGAATTTACCCTTGTAAACTAGTTAAGAGATACATAATCGATCTATGTTGATCTCGAATTTTTATTGTTACAAGGGGCTTTATCGTCACAAATGGCGGTCTTTTGAGCACAGAATATGTTCATAAATCCGTAATCCTAAAAATAAGAAAAGCCTGCCCCATTTTTCAAATTTTGATTATCGATCAGATCGCCTTGACTGGGCACCGCCATTTTGTTTGAAGCAAATGCCAATTATATGGGAGGTGGAATCTGATTGGTCCATAGGAAGGACATAGAAGGGGCATAACTCATAATTGCCACTGTTGGTGCTACAGTCAAACCCAAAACGGCCCCCCTTGTTCGGCAAGGGTGGAAACTGGACTTTTATAGTCAGTTAACCCTCTTGCTTTGGGAAGGTGTTGTGTACCTTACAGGTGTGAGTGTGTGGTGTGTATGCAGTGTATGGAGTTTGGAATGTGTTCCTATTGGGTCATGTGCTGTATGCGTGCTGGAAAAATATGACCTTGCATCACTGGTTGTGTTTCCCTCTGTTGATAGATGATCCCTGGAAGTTGTATATATACATGAAGTCGGTTGTGGTGGCAGTACTGGTTGGATATTGATCATTAATCTTTTATTCTTAAGGTGAGCGAAAAAATGGTTTTGATATGCAATGACTTTTGAGGCAGAGGTGTCGGGTTATGATAATAATGCCTCCATGTTGGAGTCTATGAGTTCACAGTGCAAGTTTAAATTTGAACCAAAAAGTTCTATGGCCAGTGGTTTATGCATGTCTTGATATTTTGAATATTTTTATGCCTAAATACCATTGAATACACTCTACCAGTCATTGGGGGAGCACAGGTGGCCCAGTCGTCTAAGGCACCGCGATTCGCTGTGCAGAGTTGCATCCCTTGGGCACGCCAGAAACCTATGGTCGTGGGTTCGAATCCCGGTTCGCCCCGATTATGTTTCTAGGTTTGTCAGCACCATACCCGTGCTCGTGGGTTTCATCGAAGTGGTAAATGTCTGAGACCCGCATCACTTCAGGCTTTCCTCCCACATTAAGCTGACACGCCGCAATATAACTGGAATACTGTTAAAAGCAGCGTTAAACCCAACTCACTCACTCACTACCAGTCATTGACACACTCCACTGTTTGGTGTGCACACTGAATTCCCCAGCTCTGCACAGTTGCATCTGTAACAAGCGGATCTCATTCCATACCTACAGACAGACAGTTTATTCAGTAATTTGGGGCGGTCGGGTAGCCTAGTAGTTAAAGCGTTCGCTCGTCACGCCGAAGACCCGGGTTCGATTCCCGACATGGGTACAATGTGTGAAGCCCATTTCTGGGGTCCTCCACTGTGATATTGCTGGAATAAAAGCGGCCTAAAACCATACTCACTCACTCACTATTCAGTTATTTAGGCATCAACGCCCATAGTACAATGCAGATTGGATATTAACATTTGTCACGTGATGTACATGATTAGATTTTAAATGAAGTTACACATTCCTCATTATAAAGACATGTTTAAAAAATACAGAAACATCATGGATCATACCAGGATTTTCAGAGTTTAGCAGATTTATCATTAACTGACGGTCATTAAAAATACCTTGCAACATGGGGAGAAATATATACCTTATATGGGAATACGTTTCACATTTAAGTAAGACATGGTATTCATCCTCTACTGCTCCGGATGAACAGTTTGTACAAATAGAGTTCCCAATATCACCGTCTTTGGACCTGCTACATACATTTACATTAAAATTGTGCTATGAAATTCTAAGTTTACAATAAGCTCTAATTAAACTTTTATCATTTAAACAAGTTAAATATCTTTCAGTTTGTAACAATGATTTTACTTTGCTGTAATTGCTAAGTCCTTTAGTCTTTGCTTAAATGAATATAAAAATAACTGTGGATCTCCCACATCTTGGGAAATTCCATACCAGGTGTACTGCAAAACCACCTTACTAAACTGTGTACATCTTTTTATGAAATAACTCTCCGCTACAGATCTACAAAATAACCTTAAATCTCAATTTGATAATACGCAACCCAGAGATAGAAATTACAGTTGCCTGTAGGCCTGAAGCTAGTAGAAATGACATCAGGCTAATGATATTATACCTACAGGCTCATAAATAATATTATCTTTCCAATAATAAAATTAATCTGCAATATCATCACTTTGCGAAAATGAATTAATGATTAAAAACTAATTAAACTAATTACATGCTGCTGTTGTTCTGATCATGCCGGCCACTATAAACTAGACAAGGATTTATCTAGACCTGCTCAGATGCAGAGAATTCAGCCCCAAGTTTGCAGAAAATGGCATTGAAAATTCCCAGATTGAAATTATATATTTCCTCAAGTATTATTGATTTGTAAAGGTAACATGTATTTCACAAGTAACAGGTCCAATAAAGAGAAAATGGTTTCAATGTTATAGTTTTATATTATTGCATTAAATTCAAGATAATGATAGCTAAAAAATCTCAATTTTGAACAAAATAACCAAAAAGATTCCAAAATTACCTGCCAGGGGCAGTTTGTTTAGAATCCTAGATACATCCTGCAAAAACAAGACCTAGTATGGTGCCTCAATCTTGAAGGCATGTCTTCAGTTAATGAACACATACAAAGAAATTGCTTTGAAATCTAATTTTCTGACTGTTGTAACTCAAACTTACGTCTGTTGCAGGCCTTGAATTATTTCTATCACAAGTGAAATCTTGTTTTGGTTTAACTGTTCTGGAGTAACATTCCATGTTTGAATGCCCCCCCCCCCCAGTAACCTATGCTTGTTGTATAAGGCGATTCAATGGTTGGAATTCATGTCAACGTACCCTGATGGCTCATTTTGTCAATCACTGGTTTGTCTAGCGTAGACTCAATTATTTACAGTTGAAGTCATAGAGCTGGGGCATGAGTGCACATTATACCTCACTTGACTGATGGCATGGTTAAACTGATAAAAAGGTTGGGGTGCACACCTCCCCTCTGTACCCTACGGAAGCCTTTTAGGGCCACTTGGTTTTCTCCTTTTTTTTAATTGAAATTTCAAGATACAAAGTTGTAATTTCAAGTTAATGATCCTAAAATTTCAAGATAATAAGTTGATATTTCAAGATAATGATCCTAAATAATAATAAGTTGAAATTTTAAGATTTTAACTTGAAATTTCAATGTTTGTATCTTGAAATTTCAACTTAGTATCTTGAAAATTCAAGAAGAAAAAAAAAAAGAAAAAAAGAAAAACAAGTGGCCCTAACACGCTTCCGTAGTGTTGTAGATCAGAGACCCTATACCGATATATATGGTCTCTGTGTAGATGAACAATTCTGACTGCTGATATCAAAGATGTTTAGTTGTATACCGTATTCGACATAATAAGCGCCCCGCTCTAATAAGCGCCCATGGTGACATTTGCTGATATATTTGCTGGTGAACAATCCCAATTAGCACTCCTTCCGATTGATCAATGTACACAAGACTAATTTATTCGCGTATAATACGCACTCGTGTGTTTATATGCACCCTTAATTATGGGCAATTAAATTCTGGAAAAATATATTTGTCGTACATAAACATTTCAGGCTGTCATAACCATGAAATTTATCTTTCAACTCTGTTTTTTTTTCACCAAAATACTATTCTAAGAAGAGCCCCCTATTTCTGATTTTGAGAGCGCCCTGGGCGCTTATTACGTCGAATACGGTATTATGTTTTTTAATGATATTATGTAGACCCTTAGCCAAATAAGCATCTCTATGATTCATGAGAAATGTTAGCAAGCCAAAAAATATCAATAACAAATCAGATTATGATGGTCCAGATTTTTAAGAAGTATATTTTGCATGCCATATCAGATTAGATTACATGAACATTTTGTCTGTGTAGAAATAGAATATCTGTACCTCAACATACAGGTTTTGATTTTATTTGATTTTGTTATGCAACTCAGTGAATGTGTGTGAAATGGCAGCATTATTTTTTAGTTTTCAATCTGTACATATCATACTGTTTTAAGTATTATCAAACTTATTGTGATAGATTTGAGTGATGCAATTGGCAATATTAAATATCATGAACTATAGCAATATTGTCTGTTTTGGGATTGTATGTTCATATGCACTGACAGACTCATGATGAAGGGACACAGAAGGTGTCACAATTCGTTCTGCAGAGTTGCATCCCTTGGCCATGCCAGGAACCTAACCGTATGATTGTGGGTTGAATTCCCAAATTCGCCCTGATTATGTTTCTAGGTTTGTCAACACCACATAGTACTGTTGTTCCGTCAAAGTGGTTAACATTCCAAGACCTGAATCACTTTGGGTTTTCCTCCCACTTTCCTTACACGACAGCCGTCCTGATATAACTGACATTTATACTGTTCAAAGTTCCGTAAAATACAATTATCTCGCTGCTTTATGGAGTGACCTGTGAAGATTCCTGGGTAGAATAGGTCTTCAGCAACCCATGCTTGCCGTAAAAGGTGACTATGCTTGTCGTAAAAGGCGACTAACAGGATCGGGTGGTCAGGCTCGCTGACTTGGTTGATGCCCATGTCATCGATCCCAATTGCGTGGATCGATGCTCATGATGTAAATCACTGGTTTGTCTGGTCCAGACTCGATTATTTACAGACCGCCGTCATAAAGCTGGAATATTGGTGAGTGCGGCGTTAAACAACAAACCAACCAACCATCCAGCTTTATGGAGCAGATATTGAATCATATATACCGTATTCGACGTAATAAGCGCCAACTGCGATATTTGCTTATATATTGGCTGGTGAACAATCCCAATTGACACCCCTTCCGATTGATCAATGTACACAAGACTTATTATCGTGTATAATACACACTCGTGTGTTATATGCACCCTTAATTACGGACAATTAAATTCTAGAAAAATATGTTTGTCGTGTATAATACACACAGACTTTTCTTTTGTATCATTTTAGGCTATCAGCAAGCCACGAAATTTACGACTTTCAACTGGGTTTTTTTCACCAAAATTATATTTTAATAAGATCCCCCTATTTCTAATTTTGAGAGAGCCCTGGGCGCTTCTTACGTCAAATACGGTATGTCACGTCATATCCGCCTGGCAGTCACTACGCGTGCTTGAATGGAATGTGTCAAGAATATTACCAACAGCAGATCCAGCAGAAGAGCAATTGTCGGCAAAAAGTGCAGTGAAGAAGTATATATGTCGTAAAGAAGAATGTATGTCGTAAACCTTCATTTTCTCATTTTAAAAAAGACGAGAGTTGTTACGAGTTGATTCCCGAATTGAAACAATATGTTAACCCAGAAATATGTATGTAAAAGAATTTAGTGTGAAACCAACCAACAACCAACAAATGGTACGCAATCAACAGTTGTATTACAAAATTAATTAGGCTTACAAATCAATACAAATGACCGTGCAGCAATAACAATGTCAGTCACAATAGAGTGGTAGTACAATATTCAATGGCAGTATAAAATTGGAGAGCAGTGGAAATGACAAGGACAAGAATAATAATTACCTTGCGCAACAGTGGTCTTGGTTCCGAGGTAGGACAAGGCTGAACACTATGGTGGAGAGTGATTTTCACACGAACGTTTTTATCCAATTGTGAGTTCTTTACACACCTAATAATAATAAGGACCGCCTCCGTGGTCTAATGGTAGAGCGTCCGCCCAGAGAGCGGAAGGTCCGGGGAACGATCCCCGGCCGCGTCGTACCAAAAGACGTTAAAAGATGGTAGTTGTTGTTACCCTGTCTGGCGCTCGGCATTATGGGGCTAAAAAACAAGGACTGGTCGGCTCGAAGTCAGTATACTGTGTCTGAGTGGGGTATTCATGTTAAACTGCGGCATGGTATCTCAGTGTGCTAGCACTATAAATCGGCATCAGTCCGGACTAGTACAAGCAGCCACAGAAACACACACTATAGAAGTGCAATA